GGGTCTAATCCCTCAACTACCTGCTCTTTTGCCATCTGCGAAAGTGAGGGTAGCTGCTGTAGAACTTAAGATATAAATAATATTAGGGAATAATCACGCTACATAATGAAGTTTTGCTCTTAACCCTAAAATATAAAACCGGAATGGGGAGCGGCGTGAACTTATTGTCGGAAATCTAGATTTTATAAAAGATCTCCAGAACATTCTCTCCTCCATTGGAGTTTGATTCTGAGAGAATGACTAACTGAGCTTTAAGCAGAATCAATACTAGAGGTAATTCTTGCACTCCATGCAAAGACTAGCGGAATTTGATTGACGTTCTTTACTCGCTATTTGCAATATGTAAGAAGAGGCGCGCCGAGGAGGCCCCAAAAAAATCCACTTGAAAAATGTATAAGCTGTAATAATAATAAAAGCCCAATTCATTCATGGATGTTAACAGAATATAAAAATGATCGTAAAAGTTGCTTTACTTTTAACACGTGTTTTCCTCTTTTTATAGGCGCTATACCTACTTTTCAGCTCTTCTTATTAAGCTGGAACGGTCGAAAATACTTTAAATTCTTCTGGATTTGTTTATCGTGTCATAGGGAACACACAGACTTTGGTAAGTTCGATAAATATCTTTATAAAATTTTATTTTGTGGTGGAAGAATAACACAGACCTTATTATTGTAAGCAAATGTAGTTTATAAATAGAAGATCTACACGAAGACTCATCAGAATCGGTTGGGTTGTAAATAAAACTAAAACAAAAACCCGACAATTGTACTGGCGAACAGTAGGAACAACACAATGGGTCAAATAAAAGAGGATACAATGGCGATCAAATTTAATTGTCCATGAAAAGTAAACAATACAATGTAAATATTTGGTTTCACATGCTCGCACATGGTACGCACGTTTTGCAGTTTCATTAAAATAATTGTTACCTAACGATATAAATGGATCCATTTTTTTCTCACACCACGAACCAGAAATCGTTGTGTTGGTGCATGTGAAGTTACCCCCTCATTTATCAAATTTGGCAATTATAATTAGAGTTCTAGGGTTCTTGTGACAATTACGTCATAAAAATTTTTGAAAATGCAGAGGGCTAACTTCAAGCAGTTCCTATTGGGTCAAAAGTGGTCATTTTTAAAGAGTGCTGATAAGACCATCCATAGTTCTGAACTTGACCAGTTATTAAAATAGTTCCTTCAAATATTCAACATAAAAGACCTCGTCAAACGAATAAGAACCCCCAGTATTGACTGTAGCTGTGCTCGGAATTCCAAAATTCCATGAGAAAACGCGTGGTATTAGTAGCTAATCATAAACATTTTAGCGCATTTTCGAACTCGATGTTGGAAGGACCTATTATGGTCACTTTCTCCGTCCGTCCCTCTGTCCGAGGCCGTAACTAGTACAGTTTTCTATATATTTAGTTCGCTCTTTTTGAATTCAGTACCTTATAGCTCTGCCCTACGAGTAAAAAATAAGAGGAGAGAATATATATCGACTTGGCGTATCATAAAACAGAAAAGACGATGTCAGTTTTGTTTTATTACGCCACTGATAATCATGACGCGTTTCCCCCCACTCTTATAACTTTCTTTTTATCTATTTCCGTCTCGTTCCCTTTTAATGCAAGGTTCTCTCATTTTATTTTTTACTCGTAGGCTCTGCCACTCGAGCAAAAAAATCTTGACGATTAATGTGCGTATGTTTTAGGAATAGGGTCATGATGTGGGGTCGGCGACATTTGGGCGCCATCCCCGAGCGTGTTACGCTAACGTGGTGATTTTTCAGTTTTGTTCTAACTATTTATTTCTATTTTGTGGAGGGTTTTTAGCGAAATCCACCAAATGCGAACGAATTGCGGGTGAATGTGACGTCGGAAGCGGGTACCGACAAAGGGAATGTGGTAACCCCCGCCGAAAACCCCAAATACATCCCCAATAACAAAGGATAAAACGCCTTTATACGTAGACACACCATTAAAGAAACTTTTATCTTTTATCTTATACCTTCCTTAGCGTATTCGAAGATTTGTCAGAAAAATAACCTACAGAAACCGTAGCTTCCCGTTAGAGCTTTTTAGAGCCTTTCGGGCACTTTTCCTGATGAGTTGTATTCGCTCGTAAAGAACTGAAAAACAAGTATAAATTGTGCACAATTATTGTGCAGATAAAGCGAATTTTTTTAACAGAAATAGTTTGTGTGTTTTGACATCACGAATGCATACATTTCTTGCACACGTCTCAATCGCCCTTTGTGAGTACCCTCTTCCGACAATCCGTTCTTGAGGTATAAGGGAATATACCTGATCACGATAAGAGGTCGAGGAGGAGGGCTATAGTTGGTAGAAATGAATTCCTTTCGTTGAGACCTTTCATTAGAGTACCATTAAGGATAAAACTAGTTCCAATCCCCCCTCCCCCTCCACCTCGCGCATTGGTAAGAGGACAGAAAGAAGGGCAGTAGTTGGTAGAAAACGGTTCCTTTCGTTGAGACCTTTAATTAGAATACAATGATAGAATTAATTTTTAACCCCCCCCCCCCCCTCATCGCTCCGGAGGGGCAGATAGACTCACAGACAGACGGACGGACGAGCCAAAGTGGCACAATAGCGCATTTTTACGGAAAATTTACGAAAGAAAAAAAATCTTTCTGTAATAGAACAAAAATCCTTCGTCAATTGATTTCCATGAGTTCAAGGATCAGTGTTATTGAATATGAGCCGGATTAAAAGTCGTGTTTCCGAATGCGAGCTGAGTATCAAAAAATTGCACTACTGAAAATCGTATGCGACTTTTCCTAACTTGACTATTTGCATCTGCTTTAGCGAGAATGTAGGTACCTTCTTCTACAAGGGATTTGTGAACGAAGGCCATTGTAGGTAACGGGCTAATGAAATTTCATACTTGTTTGAGAATGGGTGGGGGGAGGAGGGTGTCCGTGAAGACTTTTAACACTGACAGCGACGTCGGAAGTGAATAACGGTTGGTAAAAATCAGAAACCATAGAGTCTGAAAGGTCTCTTCCATGCAAAATTGTATACGAATTTATGCAAAGCAGTGAGTGGGTTTTTTTAAGTGACCCTGAAACCTGTTTATTTAATCAATTAAATAATGTATTTTTGAAAGAAGTTTTGAAAAAAATTAAAAAAGTGTCGGAGGATGTCTATAGTTATATGCAACTGAGCAACTCAGAGATACTTGACCCGATTGAGAAAGCCATAGCGTTAGATCATTAATATTTTATTTAAAAATTAATGAACTGAACTGAACATACAAAAGTTACAAAAATGTTGTTCCTATTTATTGCACTTGAGCATTGTAAAAAAAAGCTAGTCGAAAAAATTAAATATATCCAAAAATTTTCCGCCTTTCCACAGTTTTGCTGGAAAATTCTTTCAATATACCCTCTACTTCTACACTGTTTGTAATTTCTGCATGCACATGCTGTACAAGATGTGGTAGTCGCTTTTGAGTGATTTATCTACTCATTTTTAGAGGGAGCGCGGCTCCCCTTGTGTAAAAACTGACGGGGCGACTCGCCCCCTCTGACCCATACTTCCGACGTCGCTGAACACTGAAGAAATTTGATACAATCAAAACGTGAAATGTGGAAAAGTCATTTATCTTGTATTTGACTTGCTTTTTTAAAGTATTCATAACCGCACCATGGAAATTTGATTTTGTGGGTATTTCTGTAAAGCGAATTGTATGACTTTTCAAATGATGTGTCACTCGATGGGGGTGTTCTTACTTTATTTTTAAAGTGGGGGTAGCTGGGGGTGCGATGGTGAACGCTAACTAAGGTAAACGGTCCCCTAAACTTTCCCCTAGCTATCTACATGGACGTGTTGGTGCGATTTTTGATTTTTATCAAAATTACAATTACAATTAATTTTATTCTTATTTTTTGTTTCTCATTGAAAACGCATTAATTAAATAAAAACACTTCCCTGCGGTGTTTGCACTCTGTAATGGAATGCGCAAGAAAATAAAACACAAATAAGTCAATATTGTACAGGAGCCTTATGTCTAGCCGATATAACTAGACGCAAAAAGTTCGCTCTTTTTGCAGTCTGTAGCAATGCCATTCGAGCAAGTCGACCCTTAAACTTTGACCATGACATTAGGGGTCGTACGTTTCACGTTTGCATTCACAAAACGGTCCATTGCACAGTTTTCCGTTAATAAAAAAACTTAATTTTTAATCTTGGCGTTGGGCCAACGGCATACGCGAATTATAGAATTTAAGAAATTAAGAAAGAAGAGCGAAAACACCGCTAAATATTTGTTATACTAAAAATAGATTTTTAAATGGCACTTCCGGTCCTAGACGACCATTCAATTAGAAAGTACACATGGGGGTACGTCCTCCGCGCAAGGAGCGGACCGGGGCGCCCCTAAATCTAAAAATTATCTAACGTCAATCACAGCGATTTACCCTCGTAACTCTCAAGCTGTTAACTATTTCCTTTCTAGGCGCGTATTAACCACCTGCCTTCTTGTTCGGAATATTTAAGCTGCAAGACCAGATTTAAAGGTTTCCAGGTAAAAATATAGACAGGTGGTCACCAGGTTACAGCTGCCGCATTAATTTAGTAAGAGGATACGAAGCAGAAATCACGGCAGACGCTCATCAGCGTCGCCCCCATTGAATATCTTAAAATAAAAGACGCTAAATCCCATTTCTCCTACTACCACCCCATCCCATTATTCGCCACTACAATCATGCTTCGGTTTACTAACCCCGAGCCTCGGAGATGATTCACTTTCAATCTCACTTCAAACAAAAACTTACTTTATATCCTTCATAAATAAACAAGTCTACAATCTTGCTACTGATAATTAATAAATAAATAATCTACAAAGCAATAAGTCCGCCGCTTAGAAGGGCAATTTTATTTTTACGTGAAAGAAATTCAACCCCTTGCGAAGGGTGGCAGCCACGCCTGTGCGTCGCGCTTCATTTTCGCGAGAAAAAAATAATTTTAAAGCACTTACATGAATTTTCGTAGTTGAGCAGCGTTTAATAATCCTGAGGAAGAGATCAACGCATTCACTTTAGAATACGATTTTTAAAAACTATGGATCAAGAGCGTTGCTCACATAAAGCGAACAATAACGCAACGCCTAGACGAAGATGCGCGATTGCAGCTGCGAGTGTGGAACGAAACAGAAATTTTTGACCCTTGCATGATCGATGTGCTGCCTATAGTCGAAACGAACAAATTATTACTCATGAAATAGCTTAGTTCTAATCACGGCCTATTAATAAATGTCTCCATTTAAAATGTGTAACTGGGATTGCTGGTCTGGTGGAGTAATACTTTTCAGTTTTTGGTTCACCCTGTATACTATTTTGAGCAGGGTACGATTCATTTCACCTTAAACAAAGTGGTAGAAATGTTGAAAAAAATCCCACGTTACCCAAAATCTTCATGTTCAGCTCAAATTTTCCTCAATGGTCTTCAAACACCACTCAAGCTCAAAGTTTTCTTCAAGTTCATAAACTTATTTTTATGTGCACCTGTAATTTCCCATAAAATTATTTTCAAGGGGTTATTCCTTCAAGCACAAATTACCCGACACTAGAGGTAATCTGTGCTTCAGGCTTCCTCTAAAGTTCTCATCATTGTTATTACTCTTATAGTTTTCTGCAGGTTCCTCGCAAGCTTTCTTCAATTTTTCTCAAGCTCTCATACTCACTGCTCGCTCAAGTTATATCATGTTCATTTCAAGCTTCTTCTACTCAAGTTCCTCTAGAGCTCTAATGAAGTTACTCCAAAGTTTATCATGAAAGTACTCTCTAGTACCTATTTCGCAATTTTTCCTTCCTCTCAAAATCAAATCCTGATTAAATTCTCCTCAAGAATGAAGTTCTCTTCATAATCCCTTTATGTTTCTTCATGAAGCTTTTATCAATATGATGAACATACACCGTTCTCTACTACTTCCATTCTTCTTAGATTCCAATCAAGTTTATTTCAAGTTCTCCTTAAATTTCCACAGCATGAAGAGAATTGTTCGGCCGACGATTCCATGTTCCATACACCCAACCCACACTTATTAAGTTTTTGTTCAAACCCAGGGAATGTTCTTAAATATTTTTACCTTTGAAAAGCTGAAGCTGGCTAAAGGTTATAATTAATTATATATCACCTTAATAGGGATTCGCTCAACTCGGATTTACAAAGTTTTCCACTCCAAACCTGCAGAATTTTCTTAAACACTTTAGCTTTTTACTACCCGCACGTTAGTAAGGGAGGTAACGCATTGGGGTAAAAAATGACCTCCTTCCTTTAACGGAAATACACGTTTTTAAGTATCAGGAATCCGAATCAAACAAAATCTGGGTGATGTCGGTCTCTCTATACTCTCATTTCCAGCTAAACGGCTGAAACGATTTAGGACCCTGTTTAGTCTAAGTTGCTTCAGTTACCCCGGTTCCAGATAACTGTCACCAAGGAGCGGATGTCTGTCTCTGATCAAGGTGTCACAGTGACAGACCACATGCTCGGTAGTTTCCTAAGCCTCGCCACAGAACCCGCACGTGAACTCTTCTACAAGCCCAATGATGTGCATGTGATAGTTGACCATCCAGTGCCCCGTAAGGACACCGGTCCTAATCTGGCTTCTATTCAGTTTTAGAAGCTTAAAAGACCCAAATTTACCAAAGGGCCCTGGACAGCCTGAGTCGGATTAGGTACTTGTTGCTACTGAGCCTGGAATTGACTGGTATCCCGTCTTTTAATCCTGGCCCTGACAACGGAGGGAGCAATTCCTAGGGTAGCCTCGAGCCCGACGAAGGCTCCACCACTGCCTTCACGAACCAGCTCGTCCACTCTTTCGTAGCCCCCTATTTCGCAGTGCGCTGGCAGCCAGATCGAGTCTACTCAATTAGACTCACCTAATCCATTGCGAGTTCGTCTTAGACCTTAAGGAAGAAGCAAGGGTAGAAGCTGATGTCAGCTCTCGGTCGATCTCTTTATTTCGAAGAGACCTTTCATTAGAATACCATGAAGGGTAGAACATGTGCCCCCCCCTCCATTCTCTAAAGTTTAACTTGGCACCACTAAAGGCATGGGTATGCAAAATCTGAGACCAATTGGTTGTTGTATGTAAAAGTTATGCACGTTTGTTTTACTTTCAAAAACAGCATCTCGGGAAATAATTCGTTGGAGGGGGGGGGGGCTTTTAGACAACGAAACTTGATGGCCGTCTGACACACCTTCAAGGTATAGGCTACCTACTGCAAAAGGACTCTAGGACCATTCCCCTAGAAGTAGTTCGTAACGACAGAAGTAGGTCCGGACGGACAGACGGACAAAACGCAAACAATAGCACATCTTTTTTAATTCTTAAAAAATGCGCTAAAAAGTGCAGACTTGAACAGGGAAATCCATATTTCCGAAACATTGACTTTTTCTAACTCAAACCAATTGTTTTTATGCGGCCATTTATTTATTTAATAAGTTGCCCATTCATATACAGACTATACCTAATCGCTAACTTTAAAAAAAATCAAAAAATTACTTATGGGGACAAAACCGTATTCATTAGCAGAATTTTATGATTATATTATTTGTAGTACCTATACCTAGGTACACAGCATTTAGTTCTCAATTTGTATGACCCCTAAGAACAATGTGTGAATATTTTATATCTGCTTGTTTCTTATTGTGAAAATATATATTAGGTACATTAAAGTAGTTAGAGCGCGTTCGGCTGAAGTCAAGTGATGTACTCGGCCTACCTATTACTTACGGTAAACGTCCCCAAAAAAATGTTGTTATGAAGGAAACATAATTAGAAATACGGTATGAGTGGTATTTTGTACCTCAGCACAATGCAAACGTCTTACATGATTTTTAAAAAGGTATATACAGTAGTCAACTTGACTAGTCTCCCTACTTTTCGACCCTGTTTCAAACCTTTGCACACTAAATGTTGACGACACACCGCGACTAAATATTCACAGTGTAAGCGGTAAATCCTAAACGAATATATTTCTTTTTAATCAAAACGTATGCGAGACGTATGTAAAAGCCGGGAAACTAAATAATTTGGCGTTTTACGTGAGGTCGGTGTAGTGGATTTGGTTTTTCGATGTTGGCGCCAGAGATCCCCAGTCGCTATCTTGATCCCGATCCGATCAGTGTGTCAACAAGACGTGTGCAGGCCTTTATAAATATCGCTGGTTTTGGTGTTTTTCTGAAAGACACCATGCCTTTTGTGAAGAAAAGTGCTCAGCAGAAGAAGGAAAAGATTGTCCTAGCTCAGCTATATACTAGACCTAGTGGAAAAGTCATCAGATTTAAACGCGTGCTGCATAGCGTGCCGCCGCGTCAGAGCAGACGCCGCTTCGGCGGTAAATATCTTCCTTATTCCATCATGGACATGTACTTTTCCGTCCATATTTAGATTCGTCACAAAATTTCGCTTCTAATGAGACCCATCTCATTTAAGTCTTGATACAAAAACCTTCGCTAGCTCAGAAAAACTGAGTCTATCCATAAGAGCCCATGTTAAAATACCCTGTTTTTACTGTCAAATATCTCAGAAACGGCACATAGGAACACTTTTTTTCTTTTGACCATTAGAAAGTGCGTCTCTCAGAGAATAAGTGACCAAATTTTCACCAACTTCTTGTTACTTTAACTTAGGCGCTCTAACTACTTTAACATTACATTACATTTTATTTGTGTTCTGTATACGTATACAGCATTTCGTTCTTTTAACATAATTTTTAATCTTGTTTTGGAAATGGACATGATTTGATCTCAATCTCACTTTTATTGTTTGAAATATTTCCAATTTTTGTGTGTAAAGCACTCCCTAAACGATCAAGCGGCTTGATCAAACATTTGATCAAACCGCTTGATCGTTTAGGGAGTGCTTAAATCTTTGCTCAATTTATGGTTTTGTTTTGATTACAGGCTCTTGATCCGAAGTTCACTTTATATTTGTGGAAATTATTACATTGCTTGCTGTTTATAAAGTATCACTTTTCACAGTGAAGAGACTTTGTACTTTGTTTGTCTATATAAAATTTAAATAACATCTTATCGGCCGTCTGGTTAGATCAGATTAAGACTAAACAGGCGATAAAAATAGAGGGTCCTAGTTTAACATATCGCATGCAAAAATGTTGCCGGTCCTGTACCAGTTATACTAGGCCACTTGAGAGCGAGCAATTTCTTTATTACACCGACCTTCATGCAAGATTCCAAAAAGTCCGCAAGAGGTCGCGGATTCAAGGGGACGCATAAAGTCACTAGGTATAGAAAGTACCGCAATCATCCGCCATTTTTGGGCAAATTTGCTGCCAACTTAAAAAAGTTGACAAATAAAATCTGAATAGCTGTAATTTTTTATAACCTAACTTCATAATACTGTCATGTTTTATAAAAATATATACAGATATCTCCAAACGGATGGAACAATCCCTAGCATTAAAGTTACTAGAATCTGGTAACTTCCGCCATTTTTGGGCAAAAATCATGCGTTCTCTCTCTAACACACGAGCCCAATGGATTGCGGTACTTTCTATGTTTAGTGACGCACATGTGTACATGGCCTAATTGGTCCACAAACTACCAGAATTGACATTAGAGTTTCTCATAAGAAATTGCTGCTATTCAAAACATTTCATACTCGTGATTCCGCACCGTCAATTTCAAAACAAAGATTAAAAGTTAAAAAACGTAAGTTGTATGCAGAGCAGAAATAAGTGATAATAAAGAAATGCCAAGATTATTGTCTGCATTAAATAATATCAAAAAAAGAACACGATGCGCTCTCAACAGCAGCTCAAACCAAGATTGCTGTAACGTAAGAAGCGTTGTGCTCAAAACGGCACACACAGTTTTCCCCTTCTTCTAAAAAGTCGCACGTACGGTTTCAGCTCTCAAAAAGTATCGTAGGTTGTATATATAGGGTGAAATCTCTCAACATTAACCACAAAGGCAACCACTAAACGTGTAATAGATATATAAACTCAAACAGTTGTGTTTTCTTTTGTCCAAACGTTTACATTCTCAAATTTATTAATCTCGGGCGCACCCAATGAAAATTCCTGGCGACGCCACTGGCATATAAGTGTACTGTTTACTTTTTTTTGAGGTTATGAATATGATGGTTAATGCGATTTGTGGTTATTATTTACAGTTGTGTTTTCAATGTTATTAATGAAAGATGAGTTTACCAACAGATTTTGGTCCTGATTCAGGCGGCAGAATAAAAGTAATGTTGGCAAATCACCCTCCATTTCTTTCTAACGACAATTTTTAGGGAGTCTGTATAGTCAAACCTATTGTGTACGGCAATGTCGCCCGATATTTTGGTAAGAAACGCGAAGAAGACGGACATACTCACCAATGGACGGTTTACGTAAAACCCTATTACAACGAAGACATGTCGGCTTTCATTAAAAAGGTTCATTTCAAGCTGCACGAGAGTTACACAAATCAAAATCGTATAGTTGTAAAACCGCCATACGAAATAAGCGAGACCGGCTGGGGCGAATTCGAAATTGTAATTAAGATACATTTCCACGATCCTAATGAACGTCCTGTATGTATTTGGTACTTTTTTAAACCTTTCACTCATCGCTTTCTTTAAGGTTACCATGTATCACATTCTGAAACTTTTTCATAGCGGTAACACAAATGACATCGGTTTAGAGCAAGGCAAAGGGCTTGTCTCGGAGAGTTATGATGAAATCGTGTTTCAAGATCCCACACAGTTAATGCATCACTTGCTGACGAATACTAAGCAGCTTACATTGTCTGCATGGGATCACAATACCAATTGTAAGTATTATTATTATTTAAACTCGATGACGGTATCTTAGTTTAGTTCCTGTCTTAGCTACTTAGCTTTATCCTCTCTTGAAAAAACAAAAATTTTCCTGGGAGGAGCATTTTAATGCATTCCTGCATTATACATTTGATCGTGCCCGCTTAATACGTCAATAGGTATAAATGATTCAGCAGGTCTTCTAGTATTTCTTATCCCATTCTTTTAAAATGCATTTAAAAATGTTAAAATAGGGCAATGATTGAAAATAACTATTTTGCGGCAGTTGAAGAGAAGAAGAAGAAGACAGTGAAAACTATACAGGATGCCAAACATAAGGTACGTCTTGAAGTGGTTCTACTTAAGAATCGTTTGAAGCTCGCAAGGGAAACTATCGCTCAATTTAAGGAAGAGATTGCCAAATTGCAAGAAAATCAGTATGTGATATAGCAGTGTAAATTAGATTTTTAATGGACTATAAGAGCACTTGTAGGTAGGTATATTGATTAAAGATTTTTTTTTAATGATTCTGTGTTATTTCTATGTCCATGGTTTCTGATATCTACCTTTTTTCCAGCTCCTAAAATTTGTTACGGAAGAAGATAAAGCTGTTACTTATTTATTATTTTATTGAAAATCAGTGTTTTTATTTTTTATTTTGATATGTAGGTATTTGTCATGTCAATTGTGTCAAATCTGACACATCCCATTTGATTCTTTTATTGATACAAGTTTTAATGCTTTTGATAAATGGTTATACAAGACTTCTTTAAAATTATCCCTAATATTTAACTGATCTAAAAATACATTTTATATGAGAAATATCCAATTCTGAATTCATTTCTTCACTGAAACTTTACGAATCATGCTATATTAAAACATCCCTTCATTTATGGGTTAAGTGGAAGAACACCTGGTGGCTTGTTGCCTCTAAGTGAACTTCACCCTTTGGATGAATATCTAATAAAGACTGCCAATGTTCGGCTGTATTGATATTAATTTTGCTCAATTTAAAAGGAGCAAATTAAAAAAAATTAAGTTGATGATGGTTCCGTTCCGGAAAGACAAAACGTCGCGTCGGATAAAACATTAACAGCGCAACCTTTTTAACATTATTTAACCAAATTTGTATCTCTTGATGTGTTTTTGTACTAATTTGATCTTGTTTTTGATATGTATTTATGATGTCTCTTGTGTATTAATTTAACTGGTTGGACTCGATACCTGATTTTTATTGTTGTACGATTGGAGATGGGATTTGTGTCTTTTTTCTCTTTGTATTTTGTTATCGTTTACTTCTTGTATTTGTGTGTGTTTACCCCAGGTTTTTTTATCCAATGATATTTTTTCCTGGCCTTTTTGTGTGCGTGATATATTTTATTTTTATTGTCTTTACATTTCAAGCGATTGCACCATATTACGCAATCCACTGGGAAACGATAAAGCCATTGAAAAAAATATATACTCGCAAATAGTATTCTCGAGCGCGTTGGAATTTTTTTTATTGCGAAGGAAAATAACAGAAGTAATAAAATTTGCCGATTTACACACGTCAAAGTGAAATAAATCTCCAATAAAGTTGGATGTCGTTTGTTGAAGATTTGTTACAATGTTGTGCACTTTAAATCTTTTGAATAATTGCATATTTTTAAGTGGCAAGCATTTATTGCTCAATGAATCGAAATCGCGAATAATCTATACACCTATCACTTTTTATTTGGTTGTGCTTAATTTGACGGTTGGTAAGAATGAAAACATTTGATTTGACGGTTGTTGTCATTAGTTCCCTTATATACTTTTATAATAATTTTCTTTATATTTTTTTGTGTTTTCTTTCGATATTTAAATAGTTATTCTGCTATTCCGGTCAGAGCCCAATCGAACAAATCAAAGATTATGAATATCAGTTAATGATATGATGTAGTTATACGCGACTTTGTTGTCTGGTAACATCTCGCGCTCACCATTCGCCATAAACAGTGTGACGTCACGTAACATCGCGTGCTCGCCATTTGTCGTAAACGTTGTGACGTCACGCAATATCTCGTGCACGCTCGGCATGCGTCGTAAAAACGAAAACTCCCACTCGCGGAGGTTTTATAAGCCGACGCGCAAGCGGAAGTCCTCAGTCTTACGTCGTTCTCTATAGCAGGGCAAGACTGAGACTCTTTAGTCTACGCCCTCAGTGTTATTTAGTCTGGATAATTTTTATTTTTCAGCATTCCTCAGGCTAAAGACCAAGCTCTCTGGGGTCAAGCAGATGTCGCCAGTGACCCCAAAGAAGGAACGTCGGCATGGCCGGAACATCATCCGAGAGTTTTTCAACCGAGCAACTGTTACAACGTGCTTGAGCCCGCTATGGCTATCACCTGTAAGGGTGCATCAGATCATCCGCTGGGTGCAGATTCCGTTAGCTGACGTGTCAGTTCCTAACAGGTACATTAATCCAACAACGGTGCGTACATAAGATACGCCGTCCGCTAGCTCAATAAAAAAAACAAAATTAAGAACACCAGCGCTAAAGTTAGGTACTAAATTTTTTTTCTCATAAAAAATCTTATGTTTTCAAACTCTTTCCTGTAGCTACCGGCGTAGTATTCTACCTATCATTAAACGTGCCCCACCACATTAATTTTTGTCAAAACTACGCCCATTGAAGATCCGGCTCTGTTCTACCAATCGAATTCATTCCGTTTTACCAATCACGTACTTCCCATTAGTTCCGTCGTATGGGCGCGACAGTCTGGCGCTTCTAAGTTTTCACGTACCAACATAAATTTTATCTAGATCGTTTACACATGCGAAAGAAAGGTCATATCTGACCCTTCCCTGCAGGTCCCTTATGTGCCCCTTTACTCCCAAAACCGAAAATCACCTCCTATCGCCGTTGACGCTTCTAACATTTTGATTTTCTTACATGCATAATTTGTTTGAGGGTCGCTGTAATTTTGAATTAATACGTAGTTCGTGGCGAATTCTTATTGGTGCATTTTTAAAAGCAAGTGGACTGTGCATGTTAGTTTACTTTTTCATTTCCTTCCTTCTTCTTTGGTAGTACTGTTAAGTTGAGTGATGTTCAACGCCAATAAATTCAATGTCCGTGTAATTGCAAAATCTTTAAATGTTATTCCATTCGATTAACCGGATTTGGTGGAATTTTATTTTTGAGGTTAGACATTTTTCTCTCATTATGGAGGATTTAAATTGAATTTGATGAATACGATTTTGCCATTCGAAGTTTAAACCAATTTAATGGTCAACCGTTGCCGTATTAGTATTATTGTTTTCTAAATAACCCTCATATTAATCGGAATTAAAGAATAAAAAAAAAATGTGCTGTTGTTTGCGTGTTGTCCGTCTGTTCGTCCGGACCCACTTCGGCGGTTTTGAACTACTTTCAGACCAATTCTCCTAGAGGCCTGTAATTTTTTGCAATAAGTAGCATGTACCTTGAGGGTGTGCCAGATGACCTTTAAATTGTGTCGTCTTAAGGGCGAGGGGGTAAACACACGTTCTACCCTTCATGGTATTCTAATGAGAGGTCTTATCGAAAGGAATTGGTTTCTACAAACTATAACTGTTTTTCGAGATTTTCAGATGCGTGGGTGACGGTGAGGAGGAGGAGGGGTTGGGGGGGGGGGTAAAATTGTTATCTTTCATGTTTTCTATCGACTGCCACCCTTCTCTTTTATCCTTTACAAAAAATGTAGGAGGAGGGAGATAAATGACTTCACGGAATTCTAATGAAAGCTGTCGACCTATTATCGGGATCGGTTACAATTGCTTACCTTTTTGGAATTGGGGGAGGGAGAGGGGGGGGGGCTAAAACTGGTATCATGGTATTCTAATGAAGTATCTCGAGAACAGAGTCTCAGGCGAGAGTACTGACAAATGGCTATTGGAACATCTGTCTAAAGTTGGTGAAGTCAAAATGACGATCTCGTGAACGAATTGTCGGAAGGGGGTACAAAGAGAAAATGGACCGTCTGGACAAAACATATTTAATGGTAGACTTCAAACTAAAATACATCGAGAACGGAGTGTCGGAAAAGGGTACTCAGAAAGTAGAGATTGGAACGTTTGTACGAGACATATATTTATGGGCGATGTGAAAACTTCAAGTGCTAATATTTCGAGAACGAATTGTCGGAGGAGGGTACTGACAAAGAGAAAATAGAACATCTATTTGTAACACCAAGACGAATATCTCGAGAACGGAGTGTCGGAAGAGGGTATTCACAAGGTCTACTGAGTAGGGCATAAGTTTAAGTGCGAATATTTAGAGAACGGATTGTCGAAAAAGGATGCTCACACATGGAAAATGGAACGTCTGGTGAGGCATATCTATTGATGGAGTTAAAGCTTGGATTGCGAATATACCGAAAACGGAGTGTCAAAGGTGAGTACTCAAATAGAGCGATTAGAACGTTTGATTGTAACATAACTATTGGCTATAATGTCGGTTTAAGTACGAATACCGATAACAGAGTGTCAGAGGAGCGTACTCACAGAAGGAAAATGGAACAATAATGGATGAAAAGGTGGTCAATTCAGTTGAATAGATGATTTCAAAATTAGTTGGCTCGTTTCAAGAGCAACTTTTGTGCGAGGATGCTCAAATTAGTCATATCAATTGTGTTGTAACAATTATCAAATTATTGTCTAAATAATCTCTTAATTGATGGTCTCATGCCTGCCTAAACCGTTCATCGGATTGCGCGTAAATTTTGAGGAATGGAGGACGTATCCTCGCGAATGCTTCTAATTTAGTAAAACACTTTCCGAAATTCCTGAGGGAAACGGGGAAAAACTGGAATTCCCAGCGGGTCAGCAACAATAATTTTAAACTCATTTTATTAACTCCGAAACTATTAAATACAGTTTCAACGACGAAGAGTAGGTAATACACGTAAATCTATGTATATTATACTTAAAGGGTCTCGTGACAGATGAGAAGAATTTACTCCCGTGCAAAACGCACAGTCATACCGAACGAGTTCAGTGTACAATTTTGTAAAATTCCATTGTGGGCTATCAATTGCGGATTCCTTGATGATTACATTACAACAATTACTTACTTCCACTACTTATAGTCATAGGTCACTGCTTTTACAATCAATAAATAATTATCTCCGTCAACATTGTCACATATTCACAGAAGCGGAACTAATTCGACATTGTACGTTCGTAAATGACGTACACTTTTTTTTTCAATTAATTTGGCAAAGGAAGAACTATACAATTTTCAAAGTAACAGGTATGTACTTATTAGAAATTTGCTATTATCTTCGTATGTAATAACATTCTGTTGGTGCAATCAATACCTAGGCTCGCGTCGTTTCCCAATTGTGGTGATAATAATTATTGGCGAAGACTTTTGTTGAAAATTTCCCGCTTGTTGCAATGAACGTGACAATATAGTACAAGGACAATTGCATAATGTACAGGTAAGTGTGTATGTGTAAATGGACGCTATTAGTAAAATGTGCGGCTGATAGGGGCAATTTATTCGTAGTCGATGTTTCGCGTCTAATTATGCGTGTGCGCTAGAATGAGCTACATTTTTATGTTCGTCTTTTTCAAAATTATTTGCGGTAAGTCTTCCACAGTTTAACATTGCTTTTTTCTATTTGCATTTAACAGCGCAATTAACGAATTGTCCTCAAGAGCACGTGAGATTTGAAAAAATAATAGGATTGCGACCTTCGAACGATGTTGATGGTTATCTATTGTACAAACGTAAAATTTACGAGCCGGTCACGCTGGAGTGTCTATCAAAATGTGCCTCGAACGAAAATTGTTTCAGTTTTGTGATTTTGTACAACATCTCCGAGTGCTACTGGTACAATGTAAATATTCGTGGATTACAAGAGACCGAGAACATACTTGATCCCAATGTGGTTTGGTTCGAGAAAACTTGCCTTGGTAGTTACTCGCAATTTCTTTGAGTTCATTAAGTTGTAACCCCTACATTCTTAGTACTTATTTGTACCACTTTTGGGGTTGTCGCTTCTTTTAGTACAAAAAGTACCAAATGGTATTAGTAGAGGTTTCAACTTAATGGCGTTCTTCCATTGTCTGAATTGATTTCTCGCGCAGATACCAACTGCAGTAAACTTTGGATATTTGAGCGCGTCCCCGGTGCCGTTTTAATTGGAAACGATATCGTAACGGTTCCGAAGGTGATGACCAGAAATGAGTGTCAACAAAACTGCCTTAATTATACCACCTGTAGATCGGCGTCGTTTCGCATCAGTAACGACGTTAATTCCACAAATACATTGGGCACGTGCACTTTGAGCGAAATGGATCGGCATCTGATGCCAAATTCGTTTCGAGCTGCCAGCTACGAAGAGGAGTATTTTGAGAATCAGTGCGTGCAAGGTAGGCTATTGCACACGGGCAGCGTGACAGATATTTTGAGAACAAAAGACGTATTCCTGCCCTTTAAGAAGTGTGAAGATAAAAAAAACTTCTTTCTCCATGTCAAATTGTCTACACAACCCTAATTTTTAAACAATTTAATAGCACGACATTTCCAAAAAAATCTTTTACGGATTTGTCATACGCTATCCCTTCGCATCTCTACCCCTTACGCATCTAATTCCTTTTGCAAACTTCTTCGTAACAGGGGTTACAATTTATGGTGGGGAAACCTCTGTTTTATTTAATTTTGACTATTTACGTTAAACTTGACTGCATTTACCTTGATTCAATTCCCTTAGTAAAAAAAATTAGGTAGTGGAGCCCAGTGGGGAATTTTGGAATTTATTCGAGCGCGTCAGGTTAAAGTAAGGTGGGTTGACTACGTGTTGAAAAGTGTGCATTTCAATAAACTGACGATTTGAGCGTGGCGTGAGGGAGTGGGAAGTGGAAAATTCGATAGGTCCATACGAGTATACGACTCTCGAGTAAAACCCCATTTAGCATCGTGGGCTCCCCTACTAAATGGATTTATCTGTCTTTTTTTGCAAATTCAAAAATCCCTTCCGCCAACTTGATGGCAAATAACTTTGAAACTTTTCTCCGTATACTAGAAAGTACTCCTGGTAGCCAGTGAGGATTTACAAAAATACAAATCTCATAAGTATTAGGAACAGAAGTACCTACCCACTTAATATATTTTCCTAATACTCGAAGACTAAAAGGAAGGTACAGTGTTGAAGCCTTCCTCCGTGAAATACCTCCTCGTTTATTACGTACAGGGTGTTCCATTTTCGACACTAATTGTTATAGTAGGTACTATCAAAAAAGTTTAAGTTTTTGGATCAAACGTAAAATAGTAAAATCAAAATTTGGAAATATTTGCTCGCTTAAGAGATACGGGAGGTAATAAAAAAATTGTCAATTTTGGAATGACTTAATGACTATATTTTCTTAGTTAAAAGACAGAAAAATGTTTATTACAAAACTACTGAATAATCTTCAGTCTTCAAAACAAGTATACGGGGTTAGGTAAAAAAGTTTTCGAACCTAACCAAATTTTTTAAAATGGAACACCCCGTATATATTAATATAAAAAATAGCATTAGCATTCTTTTTTTATAAATATAATTAACAATTTTTGAATACATCAATATTGATTTAGAAACTTAGGATTTTAGAAATATCTTTTTGTATATTTTTTTAATAATTTGAACCTTTTTTTAAATTTTTTTCATAGTTTTTGAATCATTTGAATTTTTATCATCTCTGGTGTGCCATATTTTGGAAAAGAGAATTTCATATCCTATTTTTTAGATTAAAATGTATAGGATGTTCTATTTTAAAAAATGAGGTTAGGTCCGATAAATTTTTTACTTGACCTCTTATACTTATTTTGAAAACGGCAGATTATAAAGAAACTTGTATATAAGCTCTAAAGCGAACAAATATTTTCAAATATTGATTGCCATTTTAGGTTTGACCCAAAAAGAGGATTTTTTTATAGCACTAACAATTATGGAGATGGAGAAATGTAATATATAGGCATCATGTGCTGTTCGCTTCTTTTCTTTACGTTTTCATTATTCGAGTCGATTTCCCTCTCATCTTTTTCTTCTTTCACACCCTCCTCCCGCGACCCCATAAAGGTCAATATTCAGAAATTGGAATACTCGGGTACATCTGGAGAGAATACGCAACTTCACTGCGTACTTTTGAAATAAAACCTTTTGACTCCTCTAATCAGTCAACAGTGTGATAAAAATACATTATTTACATTATTTTGATTAAACAATGAGATCAAATAAATTCTTACACTCCCTCTAAAAAAACAAAAGCCCAAACCCTTACTACACTCATAAAATAGCCTTACTGGCCAGATAATTAAATTTATGGTAGTAAACAATGTAACAAGTAATTCTAAACAAGTAAATCCAAATAATTTACGAAAATATACGCGATTTCGTTCCTTCACTGATAATTCGCATAAAACAGAAATAATAAAGATACTTCTGTATCTTATCCCCTTTGATCTGATTCGTGAAGGTGTCTCATACTGTGGTCGGATAGCTTATTTCTTCCAAATGAAAATTACAGATCGAAAATATTTCGTACGCACTTCGCGTTATTGTTACTAATTTTGACTTCACAAATTTGCCCTCAACCTAAAGGACCTTGCGATTTCAATCCATCAAGCGCTAAATCTCACTCCTCTAGTTCAAACATTCGTCTCTCTTTCTATGTCCTGCACTTGCACGCCTGCAAAAATTTGCGCCCTTTTACCCAATGTAATCGCATGATAAAAATAGAACGTTAACAATACCATGTGAATTCTTCCTCTACGGAATAAACGCAGTTCCGGTCAGTGTCGACAAACACTCAATAATTACTACTGAATTCGACACGATTACCAAAGATTTTCTTAAAGGGCAGAAACACTTCAATTGTTTGCAAATATTGGCACCACCTCTCAGTTTATAACCGATCGCCTTTTAGACAAAACAAACGCATTTTGCGCATATGAAGAATACGACAACGTGGTATCGACACAAGCGGATATTAAATATTATAACGTGACGAAAATGCAATGTGAGAAGTTGTGTGACGGGATTACTTCTTTTAATTGCCGAGGGTACAGCTTAATCCCATCCGCCTCCACCAACCACATTTGCCTAATTCACAGTGGGAACAGCAAAGTACACGGGCCAAGGCTGCTGACTTCTCTAACGGGGGCATATTTTTTCGAAAAAGCACGATGTCTTAACAGTAAGTGATCAATATTTTTGTATAGCATTAACATTGTCAGGCAGTTACAGTGGCTTGCACAGAAACACATATAACACTTAGGTACTGGCCCGAATTGCCTTTTAACGGAAAGGTATACATGAACGGCTACTCCGAAAACGTGCAATGCTACGTCAAAGGCAGGGGTATGGAAGAAGTGGTACTAAAGATGCCACTATTTAGAAACGAGTGTGGAATCATGAAAGCGATCACTATCAACGCAAACCGTACCTTGTTCTCAGGTACAATGCTCCTGCAATACAATCCACTTATTCAAACGCAAGGCGATCGTGTTATAAAAATCGGCTGTATATTTACCAACAATACTAAAATTGTGCTGGGGACAGGAGTCAATTTTGCCAACTCGTAAGACTTCCAAGAGTCCGTTGTGACTCTGTCTAATGATACATTTTCAGATCCTACCCAAATCACGGGACGTCAATTATCAACACCACAACTATACAACCGACTGTTGAAATGAGAATTGTGGATTTCTATACCAAAAAAGAGGTATCTGCTACACAAATCGGTCAAGAGTTGGAACTCACCATCGAGCTACACCCTCCAGATGGTAAAGTCTTAGGTACTCTGATATCTACTAAAATGATATGTTGTAGGTGCGTACGATATATGGGCGACTCATTTACTGGCAATGACCGAGAATGGGGACGATTCCATTTTACTTATAGATGACCAGGGCTGTGCGACAAATCCGGCCATCTTTCCAAATTTAGTGAAAATTTACAATAACGAAACTAGAAGACTAGTTGCCAACTTCAACGCCTTCAAATTTACAACGTCGTCTATTATACGTTTTAGCATTATTGTGCAGTTCTGCCCCACTTATTGCACTCCGGTACGTACAATAATAATAATAGTCTTTATTTGGTTTCCATTAAATCATAAAGTTACAAAAAAAAGGTTTAAATAAATTTAAAAGAAAAGGAAAAGAAAAAAACGGAAAATAACTACTACTTTCAGAAACCAAACCACAAGGGGAGGTTCAGTATAATCTGCTCTTCCACCTAACCAATGGGTAGTGGAAGTAGGTACAGCAGTCAGCGAAAGTTTTTGCTGATTGCTTTATTTCAATAGCGAACAAAATAATGTCTCCAGCTAATTTTTAGCCAAACTGCGCCACCGGTCGAGATCTCGGGACTAAGGTACGACGAGAAATTATGGGAACAATGGCGGATGTGAAGGAAGTAAATAAAAATCAATTCGATAATGATAACGTTACGCAAATGCCTTTGGAGTTTGTTTTACTTGTACGCAATGCCAAAATCACCTCGAATCAACTGGTTTACGATGATAACCGGAAAATTTTAATTGCCGGATATGGTAATATGTTTACAAAAGCGTAGAGGTGCCACAATAGTGCCTAGAGTTTAATGATTTGCAAAAAGTGCAAATTTGTAACAAAAAAGTGGTGCCCCCTCCCTTCCAACTCCAAACCAGAATCGAATTTGTGTGAGGGAAATATCACGCTCCTTCTCTCTTTCTGCCTTTCTCAATCGCTCTTTCATTCGCGGGCGCGTGCGTCTAGATCGCGAATATGTGGTACTGATTTATCGTTTATATTGCTGTGGCCCCACGTTGGGCGCCAAATAAATAATGCTGTGTGCAATGGTATGCGGTCAACTACACCACCCACAAAACACTTGTCCAGCTAGCAAAACTTATAATTTTTAATCTCTCCTTTTACACTCCCCAGCATCTGCTACAAAGAAAATTCCTAATATTGACCTAAATTAAGGATTTGATCAACTTCCAAAAATTCCAAAGGATTAACTAGGAGTTTTCATTAACGCCTGACAATTTTTGGACACGAGAAGAAATATCTGACATGAAAACAATATCCTGGTTGCACAATGGGTTCGAATAAACACAATTAAGTGAATCACAAATTTTTATTCTGAAACACGTGAGAAAAAAATTTTACTATGACCAGCACAGGTACCACCCGCACACCTGCATGGTTGCAATGGGTTCCGTTTAGCTGGAAACGACAGTACAGCCAGACATCGAGATTTTGATTCTATGACCACGTGTATTTTTGGCGTTCATTCGTTTCTACTCTCTCTATAACTTGCCCCTACATGGTTAGACCTTCATCGTGCTCAAGATACAAAGCTAGCTATTCACTAGAAGAGTGACCCCTCTCATCACTCAAAAGAACAACAGGAGAGCTTTGATTACGTATTGAAAAATTCTTTATTACTGGGCAGATCCAAATGATTGTCCTTCGACCTAATTGTCACGTTTCAAGCGCCCCAAGGTCTGCTTCCAAGTAACACATGCATTTTCCTGATCAGTCTCCCTAGCAGCTGGCGCGCGAGACTTTGAGACTGCCCTGGCTCTCCTAGCTTAAATACTGAATGTAGTCAAGATCATGAGGTCGATTCGAATTCGACATGTTGGCCTATTAAACTTTGATAATCAACTCTAGGAATGATTGTGGCAGTTCTACCCTTTTTCAAATGATTGATTAACCAAGCATGTAATTTTTAGATCTGTCCACAGATGAAATTTGCATCGATTTTTCTCTAACAATTGGCATTATTGTTACGTGGATTACCATACAAATTATACTACTGACTTGCGGCATACTAATGATACGAAAATACAAAAATTACTACCGACAAGGCAAAACGCAATCCTTAGAAAGCTTGCATAGCAATTTCGGCATGCGCTTCGCCAATCTCGGAAATCGGCGTGTCCGTTGGGCAGACAGTGGAAGCTACACATAATTTTTTACTTTATTGTTAACCTAATGCTACAGTATTAAATATTAAGTCACGTTTTATATTGTGGATCTGCGCCCTTAAGCTGTTTCGTTAATTCCTGCTGCTGCTGTAGTATGTAGATGTTTTCGGCTTTTCGTCGCTGCTGTCTTTCGACATCTTTAATGACCCCTTCGTGCAGTTTAGCTCTGAAATATCGTACTCGCAAACTCCGAAAATCGAAGCGCTTTTTACCTATCCAACTGCTGTTTGTAGTGTACGTAGGCAATTATAGAAATTGAGACACCGCACGCGGCAACTAATGTCAATTTTGACGATAAGGACATTTTAATTTAGGTAATTGGCTAATTGCACATAATAAAAAAAGATTGTGAGGTTATAGTGTGTTCACGGAGGTGGTAGCTTAGCCACAGACGGTTTTAGTGAAGTGAAAGTTAGGTTATGTTATAAAATCAAAATGCAGTTATTTAAACCGGCAATTAGAAATATCATTTACAGACAGTTTTGCTTAAGCAAGATCTTAAAACAGACCCACGAAGCTACTTTCGATAAGTTACTGGAAGCTCACATCGACAAAATACTATACAACACTCACCTTTACCGAACGAATCCCAAGTTTAATTTTTGGCGACGTGTTGAGCTGAAAAAACGGGAAAAACAGAACCGAGAGCAGCTACAAAGTGTACAACCTCTGCCGCGTGTTTTAAGGTACTTTTACGATGATCCACTACCCCACGTTTGCAAGGAAACCAAGCCAGAACAGCCCGAAAAGGAACACATTCAAACTCACTTCCCGTTTGCAAATCAGACAATCTCAATTTCGGACGGAGAAGATGTAGCTCCTACCATTGAAATGGATGCCGCTGATCGTACCAAACATGAAATTGAGAGACGACAACACTCCCTTTGGATGCACGATTACGAAAATTACGAGGACGATGCTGATTTTGAAGGTAATCATTTTCAAATAGGCCCCTATTTTTATAATTTCCGAAGTGTAAGTCATTCTAATTAGTATGCCATACTTGAAAATCAGGAAATTATAATTATTGAAGTAGAGGAAAATCGTGTTAGTAATATTGAATGAATTGAAGAGGGAATTCGTATTACTTATTTATAATCCAGTATTGGAAGTCTTAGGTCAATAAGAATAGATTTTCGTTATTGATTTTTCTGCCTCTTTCATTCGATTATGTTATTATTGTTTACAATTTAGTCTCGTCCTATGTTATGGACTTATTTATTTATTTATGCCAGATGTCTTAAGTGTCTCTCATTGTGTCAGAAGTGGTCCAAGTGTATTGTTTGTTATGTGTCACAAGTATTATAAAGTCAAGAAAGTTTCAGGTCAAAAGGGTTTGAACGTTCAAGTGCCTCAAAAGTTTCTTGAGTGTCTCAAATGTTTCAAAGATTAACTTGTTATTGCACTTTCAGAAAGCACTTTAATTAATTCAATAAACCAACATCAAAGAAGTTGGTGAAAGTGAAATTTAATTCAAACTTTAAAACATTCAAATTATAATGAAAGTTGTGCTCTCACAACCGAGAGTAAGTAGCTCTAGGGTCTTCATCGATTGCAAGAAAGGAAAGAGAGCTACTGAAAACCTGCGCGGATATGTGCTTACTTACTCTTTTCCGATTTGCATTTTACAATTACATTATAATAGTTTTCAACCTGTACGACAACATCGGGGAATTTTATCTCTCCCATGATTTTACATTGATATTTAAAATACTGTCCCATTAATATATTTATTACGGCATTCACACTTGAGTCTCACGGGCGAAGAATATACATATTGTGGTTTATAGTTTTGCATTTGTGGTTATAGCCATTTTGGCAAAGACATGACCTGTCGTAATAATAATACAGGATATGTTTGTGGTTTCGAGATCCATCCCATAACAGTATTCACATAGCATAAATATTCAGGAGTCATGAAAAATTATCATTTGGCACTTATGCCGAATAGGATGGTGACAAAATATCTCGCAAAATATTATTGTAAACAAATCCAACAAATAGATTACGCCCCCATGTAAAATAAACAAAAACTCATCACACAAACCGATTACAAAAATCATAATTAAATGTGAAAGTCACTTTTCTGCTTATAGTGGAAAAAATGACACTATTCACTTGTCACCATATTCTCTCTGTAGGTAGCGATTGGACAATTAACTACGGCACACCGGATCCCCGTTCGTCAATCAGCCGCATACCATGCGGCGGCTGTGGAGCTCTACTACATTGTAAAGTACGACTACTCTCAACATACGAGTTAATTGCAAAAAATTCTTGTAGGATACAGCGATTCCCGGATATCTACCTTCGGAGATATTCAAAAACGCGGCCAAACGCGAGGGAGTGGATTTGAAAGCGTTAATCTGCCAAAGGTGTCATTTTCTCAAGTATTACAATCTAGCGCTTCAAGTCAGGGTCACGTCAGATGACTATATAAAGGTCTTGGAGAGTCTGAAAACGAAACGCGCGCTCATTCTCCTAACTGTCGACCTATTCGACTTTCCTTGCTCGCTTTGGCCGGGAATCGTCGACGTTCTGGGTCAGAAGCAGCCGATCGTCATTGTCGGGAATAAGGTGGACTTAATTCCTAGGGATAGTCCGAGTTATTTAGATCGAATTAAAAGCGTCGTATCGAGTACGGTTCGCGAGACCGTTAGCGAGAGAGTTGCGCGGAATGTGAAGCATGTGACGCTGATATCTGCCAAAACCGGTTGGGGCGTCGAGGAGCTTATCACGAAGCTTCATAACATTTGGAATACGCGCGGCGATGTTTACGTGGTTGGCTGTACGAATGTCGGCAAATCGAGCCTGTTTAACTGCCTGCTGCAGTCGGATTTTTGTAAAGTGCAAGCCGTCGACTTGATTCAAAGGGCGACGACGAGCGTGTGGCCGGGCACGACGATGAATATGTTGAAGTTTCCCATTTTGCGGCCGTCCGGGTGGCGCATGTTTGTACGGATGAAGCGACTGCAAGCTTTGAATAAAATTCGAGCGGAAGAAAATAAGCTCAACGTCATGCGGTTGAAGGAGACGCGCGAGATGAAATATGCGACACTTGTAGGTGCGTGAATTCTTTGACGTTTTGCACCTTTTAACGTCACGTTATAGGCCACATTGATCGTACCTTTAGGCCCGGTTTCGAGAATGCCGAAACCGGATCAGATGTTGTTCCTATGATGGCGCACCCGAATACATCTGGTGGAGTTTGTACAGGTATTAATGAGAATGATCCTGTGTACGTTGCTAGTAAATGGTGCTACGATACCCCAGGTGTTGAGCATCCCGAACAGGTATGAGTATAAAGTGTGGTCGGAGTAGTGGCCCACTTCTTGAAAATCTGTACATCATTGTCGGTACAAACGGTCATTAATCACTTTAGTGTACCTATATCCGGTGGGTTATTTTTGGAGATAGACCCTACTTGCTCCACTGGGACCTTGTTCGCTATTTTTTTCCAGATGTGATTTGAAGGTCAGCCCTTGGTCTAACGTGCTGCCCCCTTGCGGGCATCCTCGTGCGGCCCGAACCACTATAAAGGACTAGCCGCTGTTAGACAAGGCTGTAATATGTTTTACCATCGTATGCATCCATCTACACAGGATAGAATGTACTCCCTTACTTTCCATAGCAGTTTTAATCGATTCTAGAGTGGAATTGTCAAACGCCCCTAGAGCTACCTCCTTATAGGAGATCGCCATATCTTAGAGCCTTCTCTCAATCTTCTCGAATGCAAAAAATTACTACATTAGGTACTTAAAAATGAGGGGCCTTGCGGGTGTCTGTATATTAATAGCTATATGGACAGTATGGATATAATTTGGTAATAGTATATTAAAGTACAAGTGTCATTTGACGAAGATTGTCGCACGAGGTAGTTAAGCGGCGAATGCGGCAAAAGCCGAGTGCGACAAGTAGACAAATGACACGTGTGCTTTATACAGAGTGAGCAACAAAGATTGAAGCGTGCCGCTTCAGCTAAATTGGCAATGTGCCGCTCATAGCATATGCTGATTTGATACAAGATACGAAATACGAATAGACGCACGTCACTGTGACAGCGCAGAACGTCATTTTCGTATACAACTCCATACAAAGAAGGTAGTTTTGATATTAATAGGCGGTGATGACGCACGCTGCAATCATTGTTGCTCACACTGTACTATTTTTTCTATTTCGACTTTTATTTTAAATAATAAATATACAAATTATAAATATTGCCTTTAGGCGTTGTTAGGTAATTTTAAACTATCATTCAGTGTATGTTGGTAATAGACACAATTCATTTATTTTCACGTTGGCTAACCGATTCCTGTATTTTCAAACTTCAAACTTTTAATTAGGTATTTGGTCATAATTCCATTTTGCGGCAGTTACGATGAATACGGATGACAAACACGTCTCTTGTACCCCATCGGAGATCCAAGAGATTGCCAATGAAGCGACGTTAAATTTACTGCCTGTAAAATCGAAAGTAAAGTACGAGGAGTACAAAATTTTTGAAAACTGGCTCACCGAGAAGGGGAGTTCAAAAAGTAAGCAAGAATGTACTGCTGGCATATTTTACTACGCTAAGTAAAAATAAAAAAAAGTTCTACCCTTTGGAGTATATATTCAAAATTAATCGGAATTAATACAATCGGTCAAGTTCCTCGTACGTTATTTACACTTTACAGGTTATGTTTAGTTTTGATTTGACGGATACCGTTGACAGCAAAAAAGCAAGGGGTACCAATCCAACAAAATTAAAAAAATAATGCGTTTCTATTTCTTTCGGCATCATTTCTGTCTAGAAACGCACGCAAACTGGGCCAATCAAGTACGGTTTCGGTATTGTTTCCACATCGAAATAGAAAAAATAAAATAACAACCTATAATTTCCTCAATAGTTGTACACGATTTTCGAGTGTGAAAAACCTCTCGGTACTAAGTTAAAGATTTTCTCAGATCATCCATCTCTTGACAACTGAAGAGTTAACGTTGGCACTTCCACGTGATCCAATTCAACCGAAGACGTTTAGCATAAGGCTCGGCCAAACTGTTTTTATAGCAGGTTTGGCCAGGTTGGACTATTGCAGTGGACCTCATTCGATAAAGTATGTATTGCTTTATTACACCTATTCTAAAATTTTGTTTTAAAAACCAGGGATTGTGCTTGTTTTTAAATTTTCGCACTTGGATTTAGGATATTAGATGAGATGCATGCGTGTTTGTCGCGATTAGGACAGTTTGGCATTTGATCATTTAGGGTAAATTTCCTCGTGGTATTTTAAAATAGTGACTGAAACATCACTAAAGTTGTGAAGTAGTGAATTAAGGGCGCTTTTGTTTGTAGAATTACCGTTTTTTGCTCCGAGCTACTACCGATCACCATGTGTTACACCGAGGACGCATCTTCTTTGTACGAAACTTTTTTAGGAAGCGAAATATTTCTGGTACCAAAAGGATCTCCCGAGCGCCTAAGTAAGTGGCCAAATTTAAAGCAGGGCGAACTTTTGCTACATTTACAAGGTGTAAATGAGGATACGTCATGTGGCGACATAGTATTATCGAATGCAGGTAACTCTATTGTGCAATTAACCGCCTTTGAAATTAAGCAATCGTGATTTAAGGATGGATTTCAGTCACTTGTGCATCTCAGGTAGCATTTAAAGCTTGGACTCCAGAAGGTAGAGGAATATATGTGCGTAAATGTTTGCTACCGTTTGCGGTAGCTTTGAGAGGAAAGAAAATACATCACTCGCCAGCGTATGCATCTGATAAATGTTTTTTACCAAAATAAAAATTGCTCGTATAAGAATTTAAATACTTATTGTAAATTTGTTTGTGTACGTCACCCTAGTTGCTCTCTATAGCCGCTCGTACAAAAATAACCTGGTTCTGCGTACTTTGTTCGTTTGGCAACGCTGCATTTGTTGGTAAATCTATATGAAGTTAGGAGCGATCTTGTTAACCAACATATATGTGATTTATTATTTGAGGTGAGTATCTACCTTTTTATACATTCTTTTGCATTAAAGTTTTTAAACTTCAAAGAAAAGTCCAAAATAAAGGTTTATTTCACTCAAATTAACACAGATACAACTTCAACCGAACCATAGATTTTTGTTAAATTACTGAATTACAAGTGAATGACCTACTATTGCAAGAATGCAAGTTTGTATTATTCCAAGATTCGAGAACTAGGTACCAGATAGTACTTACTTTTTCATAATAATATTACATCGGGCACCTGTATAGTGTATTGGCCATCGGCTAAAGCTACCATTTAGCAAACACATACATGTGAAGTAGCATCACACAAATCTCATTGAAAATAATAATAATCAATAAACATTGTTATAACTAAATAATTAACTGGGAAGTATACTCTAGTATGGTGATGTCTATCCTGTTACTCAAGAAAGTAAGTAATGTTTGGTTGCCCTCTGGGATCTCGCTCATTAACACATTTATTTATAACGTTGTTGTTTGTTAGGTATGGATGAACCCCTTAAAATCGAACCAAAACATGAAGAGGAAATCCATTCCTTTCTTCAGGGACACATTTCAGTAAGCAACGAAGTTTTGGTAACAGTAAAGGATGAAGTTACCATCAACACGTGTTCTAAATCTCTTTATAATGTAGTACAGCAACACTCTGATTTTCAATGTCACCTTTTAACTGAGTCTAAAACCTTGTGTAAGGATTTTAAATGTGGTGATTGTGATTTTGAGACGAATTATAAAAGCAGCCTCAATCGACATCTCTTAACACATAAAGTTGCCAAGGATATTAAATGTGCTGATTGTGATTACGAGACAAATTATAAACACCTCTTCAAACGACATCTTTTAAAACATCAAGTTTTTAAAGATTTTAAATGTGCTGATTGTGATTTTGAAACAAATTATAAAAACAATTTAAAACAACATCTTTTAAAACATACAGTTTCAAAGGTTTTTAAATGTAGTAATTGTCACTTTGAAACAAATTCTAAATCCAGTCTTAATAAACACCATTTAAGACATAAAGTTTCTAAGGATTTTAAATGTGGTGATTGTGATTATGAGACAAATGATAAACACTATTTCAAATCTCATCTTTCAAAACATAAAGTTACAAAAGATTTTAAATGTGCTGATTGTGATTACGGGACAAATGTTAAAAGCTACTTCAAGCAACACCTTTTAAAACATAAAGTTTCTAAAGATTTTAAATGTGCTAATTGTCCCTTTGAGACCAATTTTAAATTCAATCTTAAAAAACACCTTCTAACACATCAAGTTTCTAAGGATATCAAATGTGCCGATTGTGATTATGGGACAAATACTAAACACCTTTTCAAACGACATCTTTTAACACATCGAGTTTCTAAAGATTTTAAATGTGGTGATTGTGATTATGAGACAAATGTTAAACACTACATCAAACTTCATCTTTTGAAACATAAAGTTACTAAAGATTTTAAATGTGCTGATTGCAATTATGAGACAAATTATAAAAGCGGCTTCAAACGACATCTTTTTTTAAGACATAAAGTTATTTCTAAGGATTAAATGTGCGGATAGTGATTATGGGACTAATGTTAAAGGGTACTTCAAACAACAAATAGATTTTTGATAAAGAAGATTTTGAACACATTGTTGTTGGCAGGTATGGATGGAGATAATGGCACACTACCCATTAAAGTCGAACCAAAACATGAAGAGGGAATCCATTCCTTTTTTCAGGTACACATTTCAATAAGCAACGAAGTTTTGGTGACAGTAAAGGATGAAGTTACCATCAGTACCCAGTGCTCTAAATCTCTTTGTAATGAAGAACTACAGCAACACGCTGACTTTCAACTTCACCTTTTAACTCGGTGTAAATCGTGTCTAAGGATTTTAAATGTGCTGCATGTGATTTTAGGTCAAATTATAAAAGCAGCTTCAAACGACATCTTTTAAGACATAAAGTTTCTAAGGAATTTAAATGTGCACATTGTGACTTTGAAACACAATATAAAAACAATTTAAAACAACATCTATTAACAGATAAAGTGTCTAAGGATTTTAAATGCGCTGATTGTGATTATGGGACAAATTATAAACATGTCTTCCAACAACATCTTTTAACACATAAGGTTTCTAAGGATTTTAAATGTGCTACTTGTGATTATGGGACAAATTATAAACACCTCTTCAAACAACATCTTTTAAAACATAGAGTTTCTTAGGATTTTAAATGTTCTACTTGTACTAATAATAAACTTATTTTCATGCATGTTTTAATATATAATAATAATTAATGCGTTGAGGACTACGTGGCAGTGGGGCTGCAGTGCCGATAACAGAGCTTGTCGGATTCCAGACGACCCCCAAATGGCACCAAGACTGTGACTTTGATTTGATGAGTCATTCATGAGATAGAGAAGGGGCTCTTCCCTGGGCGGGATAGCTTTATTAGAATCGTCAGGACGCTTGCAACACAAAATTATTGTAAATAAAGTTCCGATTTTATGCCCGTTTTTTCTTTCACGCCAACTGTAAACGGGGCTTTAATTAAAATTGCTCGATGTAGACCGAGCTTTAACCTAAAAACATTTTCCATTGAGTTAGAAAACTAATGGAGGGAATATAATGGTAGAGGGGGTAAGAATTTTTGTAGACGGAAGTTGCCACAGATAGAGGCCACTCGCGTGGATAGGTTCCCGTGAAGGTACATTTTGACCGACATTATTTGACATATGAAAACGCGGGTCCTGTCACTGTCAGTTTTCCACCAAATTCAAATTTTATTAAATTTGCCATTTTAAAGTACCTATATAATAATTTCGGATCGGTTTGTGCTCTGGTTTATATAAATAACTAAGCCGCATAGTGTTTTTATCACACGCAATTTTGTGAATTGAGAATGATTAGCTGCGTATCATGCAAAATTTCTCATAAAGGGAAGAAACAGAGCATTTCCTTTCATCGGTAAGACATGTCATTTATCATGTTGTAGGCGAGGTTGTAGGTACCTAGTTTATGTTTCTTAGTTTTCCAAACGAACCAGTACTTCGAGCAAAATGGTTGTCTAACATTTGTAAATATATCTCAGGAACAGCTCTCGAAATTTGCTTTTGTGCTCACAACGCTTCATTGACTGTGATTTCGACCAAATGTTGCACCGGAAAATATTTATCAAATATGCAGTAGGTACTATCAAAACTTGTTTTTACAGCTAAACGTGTGAGTTTATATATTAGGTGTAAGTTTTTTTACGAGTGCGGATACATTTTGAGACCAATAAAACAATAAAGTATTATTGAATCTCTCTGCCGTTGTAATGAACCTGAGACCAACCAGTCAATTGTAGGTAGCTATTGATCAACACAGTGAATTTAATGGGAGTGGGAGTTGTCAAGTTGTAGTGGCCTTAATTATGCTACAGGAACACATCGATGTATATTTAGATTTGTAATCAATGATTATATTAAATCTGCATACAAGCATTTGATTCCCTCCATTAGTTTTCTAACTCAATGGTCACCCTAGTTGCTCTCTATAGCCGCTCGTACAAAAATAACCCGGGTCTAAACCTACGCATGGTGGTTGCACTGTGTTCACAATATTGAACTTTTCAAGATTCACCACTGAATGTCTGTTTGGCAATGCTGCATTTGTTGGTACATCGATATGAAGTTAGGAGTGATCTTCATCTGTCAACCAACGTGATTATTTTGAGGTGAGTATCTACCTTTTTATACATTTGCTTTTGCATTAAAGTATTTAAACTTCAAAGAAAAGTCCAAAATAAAGGTTTATTTCACTAAAATTGACGCAGTTACAACTTCAACCGAACTATAGATTTTTGTTAAATTACTGAATTACAAGTCAATGACCTACTATTGTATTATTCCAAGATTCGAGAACTATAGGTACCAGATAGTACTTATTTTTTCATAATAATATCACATCTGGCACCTGTATTGGCCATCGGCTAAAGCTACCATTTAGCAAACACACACATGTGAAGTAGCATCACACAAATCTCATTGAAAATAATAATAATCAATAAACATTGTTATAACTAAATAATTATTAACTGGGAAGTATGGTGATGTCTATCCTGTTACTCAAAAAGGAAGTAATGTTTGGTTGCCCTCTGGGATCTCGCTCATTTATCCATTTATTTATAACGTTGTTTGTTAGGTATGGATGAAGATAATGGCACATTACCCGTTAAAATCGAACCAAAACATGAAGAGGAAATCCATTCCTTTCTTCAGGGACGCATTTCAGTAAGCAACGAAGTTATGGTAACGGTAAAGGATGAAGTTACCATCAACACATTGTGTTCCAAATCTCTTTATAATGTAGTACAGCAACACTCTGATGTTCAATGTCACCTTTTAACTGACTGTAAAACCTTGAGTAAGGATTTTAAATGTGGTCATTGTGATTTTGAGACGAATTATAAAAGCAGCCTCAATCGACATCTCTTAACACATAAAGTTGCCAAGGATTTTAAATGTGCTGACTGTGATTACGAGACAAATTATAAGCACCTCTTCAAACGACATCTTTTAAAACATCAAGTTTTTAAAGATTTTAAATGTGCTGATTGTGATTTTGAAACAAATTATAAAAACAATCTAAAACAACATCTTTTAAAACATACAGTTTCCAAGGTTTTTAAATGTAGTAATTGTCACTTTGAGACAAATTCTAAATCCAGTCTTAAAAAACACCATTTAAGACATAAAGTTTCTAAGGATTTTAAATGTGGTCATTGTGATTATGAGACAAATGATAAACACTATTTCAAATCTCATCTTTCAAAACATAAAGTTACAAAAGATTTTAAATGTGCTGATTGTGATTACGGGACAAATGTTAAAAGCTACTTCAAGCAACATCTTTTAAAACATAAGGTTTCTAAAGATTTTAAATGTGCTAATTGTCCCTTTGAAACCAATTTTAAATTCAATCTTAAAAAACACCTTCTAACACATAAAGTTTCTAAGGATATTAAATGTGCTGATTGTGATTATGGGACAAATTCTAAGGACCTCTTCAAACGACATCTTTTAACGCATAAAATTTCTAAAGATTTTAAATGTGCTAATTGTGATTATGAGACAAATGATAAACACCACTTTAAATCCCATCTTTTAAAACATAAAGTTAGTAAGGATCTTAAATGTGCCGATTGTGATTATGAGACAAGTGTCAAACGCTACTTCAAACAACATCTTTTAAAACATAAAGGTTCTAAAGATTTTAAATGTGCTAATTGTCACTTTGAGACAAATTTTAAAGCCGATCTTAAAGAACATGTTTTAAAGCATAAAGCTTCTGAAGATTTTAAATGTTCAGATTGTGATTATGGGACAAATATTAAACGCTACTTCAAACAACATCTTTTAAGACATAAAGTTTCTAAAGAATTTAAATGTGCTAATTGTCAATTTGAGACAAATTTTAAATCTGATCTTAAACAACACCTTTTTAAGCATAAAGCGTCTAAGGATGTTAAATGCGCTGATTGTGATTATGAGACAAATGATGAACAGCCTCATAAACAGCCCTTCAAAGGACATTTTTTAAAACATGAAGATTCTAAGGATTTTAAATGTGCTGATTGTGATTTTGAGGCAAATTATAAAAGCACCTTTAAACAACATCTCTTAACACATAAAATTTCTAAGGATTTTAAATGTTCTACTTGTGGTTATGGGACAAATAACAAATACCTCTTTAAACTACATCTTTTAAAACATAAAGTTTTTAAGGATTTTAAATGTGCTGATTGTGATTATGAAACAAATTATAAACACGTCTTCAAACAACATCTTTTAACACATACAGTTTCTAAGAATTTTAAATGTGGTGATTGTGATTATGGGACAAATTATAAACACGTCTTCAAAAGACATCTTTTAAAACATAGTTCCTAAGGATTTTTGTGGACTTGTGAACTCGTCTTCAAACAACATTTTTAAATACATAATTAATGTGAGTCCTTTGTGAAGGGACTGGCAGCCAAGCCGTGGGTAACTGACTGTGCCCAGGTCAGACCGCATTTCTGCACTGCACTGATGGCTGTGGGAATCTCAATGGATTTCAATCTTAGCAATCTTTCCTGGGCTCATCATGGCAGATCTTTTTTTCTGTTGAACAAGATAGGTACATTGAATAAAGTATATGTGTATAATATACATATTTACTAGGTTTTTGATTCATTTGTTTGATACTGTAGACTAAATAAGTACTTACTACAAACTAATTGTAATCTTAGTAACTCTTTTTTTTTCTAAGATTTTGTTAAATTTACTTAGAACATATGTCTACTTTTAAATGACAAAACCTACTGCAGGACGCCCAATTTTATGCAACCAAAATATCTTCTTAAACAGGTTAGAACACCAACATTTCAGAATCAAATTTTAAGAGCAAGAGAGAGAACAAACCAATACTAGATATCAGTAACAGTATTGGTTTCCATCATAACTTGTCGAATAACTGTTCTGGTTCCTACCGGGATCACTATACCGACATATGCAGCGTGCCTGATGAATATACATAAGAATATGAGACATCCAAAACTATAAGCCGTAAGCCAAACATATGCACATTCATCGGACATTTTCAACATATGTACTTTTCGACATTCTATGGAAATACAAAATCACGCGTAGAATGTGCGTGTTATATTCAATCATTAAATATATGTATTTTTCTCAATGTCTTCTATGTGGGTTAGAACAAAATCGGGAGAAAATAGTGCTTGTGATACCCTCACAACCACTCATTTCTTTTAACACATATGTAACACCCTGTATATGCCCATGCACAACGTCACCGAAATGGAAAAGTACCTTTAGCGTACATTGTGACAGTACGCATCTTGGATGCACGTTGTGTTTGCTTCATGTCGACCCCGTTTTCAGTAATAGAAGGTAAATCGCATAAAGTACTAATAATGCAAACATGTTTCTAAATTAAACGTACGTAAAAACTTTCAGGAATTCATTTTAATATTGAAGTTTTCACGATGCATGAGAATATACTGAATTCCGCCTATATTTAGACGGTTTGGCAAGGCTGCATTTCAGTTCAAGAGGAAGGTTCAAGATTTCAGTTGATACATTTTAGGTAATAAGTATCTACCTTTTCTTCACATTTGCTTTTGCATTAAAGTTTTAAAAGATAAGCCCAAAATAAACGTTTATTTCATATGTCATGATGTTCGCATTTCTTTATAACGTTACTGTTGTTAGGTATGGATGAAGATAATACACTACCCATTAAAATCGAACCACAACAAGAGGAAGAAATCCATTCCTTTCTTCAGGGACAAATTTCAGTAAGCAACGAAGTTTTGGTGACAATAAAGGACGAAGTTACTATCAGTACACTATGTTCTAAATCTCTTTATAATGAAGAAGTACAGCAACTCTCTGATTTTCAATGTCCCCTTTTAACTCGATGTGAAACCGTGTCTAAGGATTTTAAATGTGCCAATTGTGATTTTGAGACAAATTATGAAAACAGCTTCAAACGACATCTTTTGAAACATAAAGTTTCTAAAGATTTTAAATGTGCTAATTGTCACTTTGAAACAAATTTAAAATCCAGTCTTAAAAAACACCTTTTAAGGCATAAAGTTGATAAGGATTTTAAATGCGCTACTTGTGATTATGGGACAAATAATAAATACCTCATCAAACTACATCTTTTAAAACATAGAGTTTTTAAGGATTTTAAATGTGCTGAGTGTGATTATGGGACAAATGTTAAAGACTACTTCAAGCAACATCTTTTAAAACATAAAGTTTCAAAAGATTTTAAATGTGCCAATTGTTATTTTGAGACAAATTCTAAATCCAACTTTAAAAAACACCTTTTAACACATAAAGTTTCTAAAGATTTTAAATGTGCTGATTGTGATTACGGGACAAATACTAAACACCTTTTCAAACGACATCTTTTAACGCATCGAGTTTCTAAAGATTTTAAATGTGGTGATTGTGGTTATGAGACAAATGATAAACACTACGTCAAAGTTCATCTTTTGAAACATAAAGTTACTAAAGATTTTAAATGTGCTGATTGCGATTATGAGACAAATTACAAAAGTGGCTTCAAACGACATCTTTTTTTAAGACATAAAGTTATTTCTAAGGATTAAATGTGCGGATAGTGATTATTGGACTAATGTTAAAGGGTATTTCAAACAACAAATAGATTTTTGATAAATTAAAACAGATTTTGAACACATTGCTGTTGGCAGGTATGGATGGAGATAATGGCACACTACCCATTAAAGTCGAACCAAAACATGAAGAGGAAATCCATTCCTTTTTTCAGGGACACATTTCAATAAGCAACGAAGTTTTGGTGACAGTAAAGGATGAAGTTACCATCAGTACCCAGTGCTCTAAATCTCTTTGTAATGAAGAACTACAGCAACACGCTGACTTTCAACTTCAATTTTTAACTCTGTGTAAAACCGTGTCTAAGGATTTTAAATGTGCTGCATGTGATTTTAGGTCAAATTATAAAAGCAGCTTCAAACGACATCTTTTAAGACATAAAGTTTCTAAGGAATTTAAATGTGCACATTGTGACTTTGAAACAAAATATAAAAACAATTTAAAACAACATCTATTAACACATAAAGTGTCTAAGGATTTTAAATGCGCTGATTGTGATTATGGGACAAATTATAAACATGTCTTCCAACAACATCTTTTAACACATAAGGTTTCCAAGGATTTTAAATGTGCTGATTGTGATTATAGCACAAATTCTACATATCTCTTCAAGCGACATCTTTTAAAACATAGAGTTTCTAAGGATTTTAAATGTGCTAATTGTGATTATGAGACAAATGATAAACGCCACTTCAAATCTCATCTTTTAAAGCATAAAGCTTCTAAGGTTTTCAAATGTGCTGATTGTGATTTTGAAACAAATTATAAAGGCAACTTCAAACAACATATTTTAACACATAAAGTTTCTAAGTATTTTAAATGTGCCGAATGTGACTTTGAGGCCAATTATAAAAGCAGATTCAAACAACATCTTTTAACGCATCAAGTTTCTAATGAATTTAAATGCTGTACTTGTAATTATGGGACAAATAATAAATACCTTTTCAAAGGACACCTTTTAAAACATAAAGCTGTTAAGGATTTTAAGTGTGCTGATTGTGATTATGGGACAAATCATAAACATGTTTTCAAACAACATCTTTTAAAACATAAAGTTTCTAAGGATTTTAAATGTGCTACTTGTGATTATGGGACAAATTATAAACACCTCTTCAAACAACATCTTTTAAAACATAGAGTTTCTTAGGATTTTAAATGTTCTACTTGGACTAATAATAAATTTATCTTCATGCATATTTTAATATATAATAATTAATGTGTTGAGGACTATGTGGCAGTGGGGCTGCAGTGCCGATAACAGAGCTTGTCGGATTCCAGACGACCCCCAAATGGCACCAAGACTGTGACACCCTGACTTTGATTTGATGAGTCATTCATGAGATAGAGAAGGGGCTCTTCCCTGGGCGGGATAGCTTTATTAGAATCGTCAGGACGCTTGCAACACAAAATTATTGTAAATAAAGTTCGGATTTTATGCCCGTTTTTTCTTTGACGCCAACTGTAAACGGGGCTTTAATTAAAATTGCTGGATGTAAACCGAGCTTTAACCTAAAAACATTTTCCCACGAACACTAACCTAACCTAATATTTTTCCAATTATAACCCTACTTCTTAAGTCTTACAGATCAGAAATGGCCGGTGTACTTTCACATCTTTTTCGCGGTATGAACAGAAGAATTGCCCAACACGTATGGCACCCTTAAAGTGTGTAACTCAATTTTTAATAAACGATCATTTTGTAGAGAATAGTAAGGTCGAAAAGCCCTACTCGTAACAGTTCACAAAACATTGGCGAACCCAAATCGGTTATAACGTGGAAAAGTGTAGGCGTAACTGCAGTATTAACGGGAGGCTTTCTTGCGTATATGCTTTATCTGAAACGTAAAAAGGAGCTCAGTACGTAAACATTTCTTAATCGACATTTTGGGCTACTGTTTTTGTAGTGCAGATAAAGGACCGTCAGCGAATGTTAGGGAAAGCGGCTATCGGCGGATATTTCGAGCTGGTCGATTCCGACAATACGCCACGTAAAAGTGACGATTTTTTGGGCAAATGGCTTTTAATATATTTCGGGTTTACTCATTGTCCTGATATATGCCCGGACGAATTGGAGAAAATGGCCGCTGTTGTCGATAACTTAGGTAAAATGCAGTAAATGCTGTGACTTTTTTATAAACCGTATTGATAGATAATTCTAAGGAGATTCCAAAAGTGCAACCTTTGTTTATATCGGTCGATCCACATCGTGATTCGCCTGAAATTGTTGGAAAGTATTGCAAAGAGTTTACGCCCAGATTGCTGGGTTTAACTGGCACAGAAGAACAGGTAGCTCAAGCCTGCAAGGCATACAGGGTGTATTTCAGTGCCGGTCCTAAAGATAAGGATAGTGACTACATTGTAAGTTTCCTGTAACCTGTTTCATTAAACTAATAATTTTATAGGTCGATCACACCATTATTATGTATTTGGTGAATCCTGAGGGTGAGTTTGTCGACTATTATGGTCAGACCAAAAATAGTGTCGAGATTGCGGATTCAATCAAATTAAATATATTAAAATACGAGCAAATAAAGTCATCATGGCTGTAATTTAGTATTATGTAGTTTTGTTTTAATTATTTACATTAAACTTGCAATTTTTGATCTTTTGCTACTTTTTTAGTGACAGGTTTGGCTCGAAAATGGCCTAAAGTGCAGTATTGTACTCCAAATAATTAGGTTTTCCAGAAATGTTGGCCTCATCAAGTACTTTCCTCCAATAGTCCGCCAGCTCCACACTATTAGAACTTTCTAGGCACAGTGTACAAAGCGTTCTAATACCTCTCATATAGAGCATGTTGTGTTTTTCTATAACTGCGTGTAGGCTCTGCTTTCTATGGCTTCATTTTAGAACCTAAAAACCTGGGATGGTAAAATGTTTATAAAAAACTTTGGAGAAAATCGAGGATGTTCTGGAAAGCCTCCAAATGCGTACCTACCAGTGTCTCCCTGATAGTCTGTGTCAGTACTTCTAGGCCTTCTCCAGTGAGATTATGCGCCTTTTCATCGCCTTTCTTTATCGTCTTGGTTTCTCCAGAATTTTAAGAGGATTTAGGAGCCTTCCTAAACGCTTTCCAAAGCCTTTTATAGTCTCTGGCTTTGTGTTCTATTTTAGCATTTATGTAAGACTTTCCATTCTCCAAACCATCAAGAGAATTGACAAATCTGGAGCCTTTCAGGCTCCTTTTCTATGAGTTCTAGACCACCTGTCCGAAATTCAGAATTCTCAAATTTGATAGGTTGGTCGGAAAGTCAAGTACAAGTCCGAAAATTTTCAACCTTATAGCATTTTTAATAGTTGAATGCTGCTATTCTATGAGAATTGAATGCGAACCGAATGTGATATTATTCTTAACCTCACTCTTTGGTGTTGTGATTTTGAATGTCAGACTAGCACATGTTGAAAAACTGTAAATAATTATGGGCAAATTCAGAAGTAAATTGAAAGGAGGGCCTAAGGGCAAACGATGGACTAAGGGGCAAAGTTCCAGTTCAAATCCGGAAACGCACAAACACAGGGATCTAGCCAAATCGCGATTTTTTAAGGAAAACTTGGGTAAGCTCCGAACCTCTCGATTAACGTACTATGAAACGTTTTCAGGTGGCAATTTAACAACGGACGCTTTACATAAGCATGACGCTTTACAGGCAAGTTCCAATGAGCAATTCGACAGCGAATCGGAGGCAGCGTCGTCTGTCGGATCTTCGAGTTATCAAACGATGGATTCCTTTGCGTCCGAATGGTCTAGCTGTAGTAACATGTCGTTTAAGCGATTTTTTAGTATATTTCGTGCAAACTCGCCGCTACATAAGGAAATGCTGGCTGTGCTAGCCGCCGTAACGGAGGTTATCAAGGAAAAGAATGGAAGTGAATCGCCTACGGAATACTACGGTTCACTTGTAAGTTGTCGTGGTTATCCCCTCTCACAAATCAATTCAAGAATAAGTATCACAATACATACTAAAAGCTCCTAATTCGCTCATATTTGTGATACTGTTTTTGAGTAATTGATTTGGTTTGGTGGAGGAGCCTAGGCCCGATGGGTGTGGTATAAATTATAATGTGTGCAATTACACGCAGGTTATCGCCTTGGAGCAAGTTATGTCGCACGATCCGATTAACGAGGACCAAGTCACTGCGATTTTAGCCTTGCTTAATATGGGAATACGAACGGTACCGGAGGGCGTTCTGCGTACGAGCTTCGACGATGTTTGCAAGAAACTGATTGTTCTTTTAAATAAGTTTTCGAATGCGGATAATAACGTAGTTTTGAAATCGATTTTCGGTATACTGACCACACTCTTGGTCGCTCAAGATCAGGCCGTTTGGTCTTTGTCGTCCACTTTGCAGATTTTTGGAATTATCTTAAATCCTTTTTGTGTCCATCATAAACCGAAGGTAAGTGAAAATTGAGGGGAAACCACTTGTGCAGTTGGCGTACAACATGAATGGCTTTACAAAGTGGGAGAAAAATGCTTGGATGTATTGATTTTTATAGAATATAATTTGATTTTTTTGGAATCATATAACAATATTGATTTAAATGTTATTGATAACTGATAAGTGTAATATGTATACATAGGTGTATTATGACGTCATCACTAAGTAATTAAAAAAAAAATGTTTCGGTAGTTATTTATGAGAGGGGGTCTACTTTGACTTACCCTATACTCACTAGCAGAGCCACTGGTACTTTCAGGTCAGAACAATGGACGTTTCGCGGCACTTTCTAATTTGAGGAGCATTCGGCGGTTCTTTTTATTCACAAATTGAAAATGAAATTGAATAAAAACTCAAAAAAACCAGAATATACAGGGTGTTTTTTTGGGAGCTTTAGTTAAACGTTTCTGGGAAAGTAAAATAGGTAGGTTTTTGAAAATGTGTACTTAGGAGTTACTCTGAAGACCGAATCGATGTAAAATATTTTCAAAATGGCCACACTTCCGGAAACACCGGAAGTAGATAGTAACTTCCTTATATTAAATGGCAACCCCTATTTTTTATTGCATTTTTGGATTCTACGTCAAATTTCAGTTCTTTTGATACCCACATGTCCATATCTGCCATTTATGGTTTTTAAGTTATTTTGACTTTATGAAAAAAAATGGCGGATGCAAATGGTACCTTGATAATTGATTACTTGAAAAAGGTTATAGTCATGGCAACCCATTTTTATCAGTGCATAGAGAATGAATAGGGCTTTCTTTTAGTGTACTTCAAAAAAGTTAAGTTGCATACAACCGCACCTATGGAGATCCAAATTTAAGAAATTCCAAAGTTCAAAAACTCAGTTTTTTTTAATGGAATGACCATGTTCTTACTATTGCATGAGATAGAGAATCGAAATTGGAATATTTTGATATTACATGTTGCTATAGCTATCTTTAACATTTTCTGATTTATTCCCATTTCATTGAATTGATGCCATTTTTTTCTCCTTTTTCATTTTAGTAGTTGGCCATGATTTTATAACAATCGAATTTTAAACAAATCAAGGCAAAAATACTTTAATATCATTGATTCTAGTCTATTATATATATATTTTGTTACTTTTAATTATCAGCTGCAATTTAAAAAAAGACTAGAAACCAATTTCGAAAAAAAATTCAAAGGGCTGTAACTTTTGAACTAGTAGCCCAATCTTGGAACTGTTTGAAATTATGGATTCTACAGGCCACATTCCGGGGCGATCTGAGACAATTTTTTTTTCGGGGCTAAAAAAAAGCAGTGTATAACCAGGGGCGCACTGGCCCGGGGGGCGGGTGGCGATTGCCACCTGGCCTGTAGATCATAATGGCCCGTTGGAAATTTATAAGTATGTGCTGTATTTAGTTTCTTGCACTATTAATAAATTATTAACACGTTTCTCTAATTGGGGTTGATGTTAGGTTGTTAAAAAAATCTGTTTTAATTGAAGTGTTTTACAATGAATTTATCATTTTTTGTCGTAGCATGAAAGTGCTGAAATACAATGATAGGCGACGCACCTCGTGTGGATTGTATATTTTGTTACTTTTAATTATCAGCTGCAATTTAAAAAAAACTGTATGGTAATTTATTTTCGAGAAAGGAGTACTTTAAAATGTTTTTGTGGTGCACCTCAGAGCTACCCCCCCCCCCCCCCCGCCACCATCATTACTACACTAATACTTTAATGGCCCGTAACCCCGTAACCTATGCAATTCCACCTGTCCCGCAGTTACCCAGTCCGCCCCTGCCTGTATAAAATAGCTTACGCCACAATAAGGCGATGTCAGGGAAACCTTCTTCTGGACAAAAACCCTGGCATAGCCCACACAAATACACGAACTAAATTAACAAAGACAACAAAAGCAAAAGAAAATCCAAAATGCATTTCAAATTGTGTTACAATAAAAATCAGGTCACAAATTTTAAGATTCTAGGAACGTCATACTTTTTCCAAAAACATCCAAAAATCACATATCTTAAATAGTTAATAAATTACGTAAACTGCTTATATCTACACAAATACAAATTTAATATCCACATTTTAATTTACTGTGAACGATCATGTCATAGGTGGAGTTCTGAATCGCTGCTTGTGTGATACCATCAACATCGCTAATGGGTTTCTTAGATTGCCTTGTTTTTTAGGATCTTCTAAAGGTTTGCCCAATTTAGAAATTTGTCAATATAACTCACCTTGAAGTGGTTTCCCCTTGGTGAAAATATATAGTGCTATTTATTAAGAAGTAGACATAGGGATTTATGTGCGTTTTTCCCTATGTCTACTTTTAAGTGATAAAATCTCTTTTAAAGGGTGCCTAATTTTAAATAGCTTAAAACAAATAAAGATATAGCTTCCGTATTTTTATTTTCATTCATGTGGGATGTATTCAACTGAAGAAAAAGTTGATATTGTCAATTGGTATAGTGCCGGTGATAGCCAAAGCAACAAATTTTCAAACTAATCAGCATGCCATACCGATGTTTATTTGTTTTAAGAAGTTATTTTGGATGCATAAAATTAGGCGCCATTCAGAAGAGATTTTGTCTTTTAAAAGTAGACATAGGGAAAAACAATACAATAAATCCCTATGTCCCTATATCACTGAATATGCGAGGGAGTTCTTCCATTGGCATTTTAGTGGAGAAAGCCTGCCCAAAATGCGGTCATTGTAATCACTAAGGCCAAGTGTTTTGAAAATTCAGTTACAAATCCGGCCGGTAATAAGGTGGCCGAATTCTGCAGGGAATTGCTAGAGGAGTGTTTGAAGAGTAACTCCTCGATTAAATCGAGTCGAACGACGATCCTTCACGTGTTAGGTTTAATGAAGGACACCATTGCCACTTACTCCAAAGCACACATGAAGGTAAGTCAGTCGTTTACGTGGACGTTTTGTAATGTGTTGGTTTTGTAGAAATCGTGCGAGTTGATTTTACAGTTAATAACATTGAACTATCCGATGGTGACGTCGTGCGGCTTACAAGTACTGCATTCCTTGTTATCGCAACAAAAAGCAGTGGTGCCGGCCAAGTTAAATGGTCAACTTATATCTGCGCTCTACGAGTACCAGCCGTCTGCAACGGATGTGCAACCTACGCTCGCTTGGGTGGCCGTAATGCAACAGGCCCACATACATTTAGCCGAGTAGGTAAAGTGTACCCGTCGCAAATTCATTGTGTAAATCCGTTTGCAGCGTTGAGTTGTCAGTCGCGTGCGCCGCCTTGCCGAAGATCTTCGGCACCCTTTCACAACTATGGCTTTCGGAGAAAAAAGAGGTGACCACTGCGGTTACGCACGCTTTCGAGGCGCTCCTGCGGGATGCCATCGCACCATTGTGTGACAGCGAGGAGTTAGTCGATCAGCACTTGGGGAAATTGGAGAAGTGCTTCAATGAGGTCGAATTAGGGCTGGGATATCAGTACAATATGATTTGGAATCAAGTTTTGCATGTCATTGCAGTTATGTTTGAGGTAACCTACCCAATTTGGGCAATTCCTGTTATGGGCCGTGTGATTTTAGGTTGGCGGTAAACACGCGGGTAAGCTGATGCTGGAATGCTTGAAACACCTGGCAGAATTGAGAGACTCCTATAAATTCAGTTACAATAACGAACTTGAAAATGCGGTCGGTGCTGCTGTGAAGTCCATGGGCCCTGAAATTGTTTTAAGCATAATCAGTCTAACAGTAAGTAGTAGAGTAGAGACCATTATGTTATCTTGTGGATCTCCCCCCTTCCCCACCCCAATGTAATATTGGAATATTTATATTTCAAAAAATTCCATTAGTCACTAACATGAAAACTTAATCGAAAAACTATTCGTCAAAGGATAACTCCGCCCCTTTTGTCGTGCAGTGTTGCCACTTGTTGGTTATGCTTATAAAGATTAATTTCATTACTTGTAATGTGTATTAGACAGCGTCGCATACCAAATTTTACAAAGTGAAGAATAAAACGACTTTTTTCGTAAAGAAAAATAATGCGCAGATTCTTGCTGGCGTTATTGCGACGTGATGTGGATATCTGTTTTTGACATCTTTACTTAGCACGAACTGTTACTTATGTAATTTAGCTGCCTCATCCTCATTTACTAACGTGCATTTTTTTTCAGCGGCGCATTTAAAGAATGTGAATAGTTTCTTCAATAAATAAATAAATATTTTGTTTTATTTACCGTCCTATATTCCTGAGGCGAAGATTGAACAAGAGCTTGCCGTGGTACTACCATTGCATTTGGACGCCCAACAGCGAGGCGAGAACGAACAACCGCGTATATTTATTTAATTGGGGGTTTTAGAAAGTACTATCATTGACTCTACACACTCAGTCAATGGTACTATTGATTTTGACGTGTCCAAGGTCCTTCACGTAAGAAAAATTTTGGTAACAATTCGAGTTGAGAAAAGATGTCAAAAAATCCCTCAAAGGGTTCTTTTTTTCGTTATTGTTATTCTACCGGCTTACTCCACCTACTGTCAAAAGTTATTCGATTCATTTTGAAACAAAAGAGTAATATTGAGTTTTCATTCAGTTGTTAACCCACCTAGGTGTCGGACAGGAACAAATTCTGATCCCCAATCATTTGTAGAGTTCGAGGTAGAGTTGGTAGACAAACCATTTCGGTTACACACAAATTTACTAAGACCATTTTCCTAACTAAGACGGGGAATAAAGAATTCGTTTGGAAAAAATAGGTGAAAGCTGAATTTTGCATGAAACTTCCTCTTTGGTTCTAAACAACATGCAAAAAGTCCTCGCCGATGCATGGGCCGCTAAAGAGTAGCCATATAGGGCCAATCCTAACTCAACTGCATGTAAAATCCCATAGGGCGATTTTCTAGTGTCGTCAAGGTCATTTGCCCCTCCTCCTGGTTTAAAAACTAAATAGAGGTTGCAGTCACCTCTCCCTGACGGCGACTTTAAAAACTAAATAGAAGTCGCAGTCATCTTTCCCTGGCGGTGACTTTGAAAACTAAATAGAAAGGTTAACGAGATGTTCTAGTCGAATTTCATTTGCAAGTGACTAGAAGGGTCAACAACTTTACAACATTGAAAACCAAATAAAGGTCATAACGATTTTTGGGAGGGACGAGAGGTGGAGGTGAAGAAGATTGTTTTCTTTAATAAATAAATATTTTTCAATCACAAATAGATGAGGCTTATACCAAAGAATACTAGTTACTCTTTGCTTATACTCATTGGGGACACCACTAAAAAAACGCATTTCATTGTCTACCAATTCAATGGTCTACCTCACACGTGGTGAAGAAAGGCGTGCACGTATATGAGAAAAATAAATGTCAGAATAAAGAACAAAGAAAGTCAAACAAGGAAGAAAAAACAAAAAGGATAGCACTCACATTAGACGAATGTTTATGTTTGTGAGTTTTTGTTAAGGAAAATTATCAATTTTTGAAATTGAGAGAGGATAAACCTTTATGTGAATTAAAAGGGTGGCGGGATGTCGATCTTGTAAACAAAATGAAACAAAGAAACTCATATTCAATGTACTAAAAAAATTGCAGCACGAACAATAGACGAATTGTTATGTACAGGATAGTCCAAATTGGGCACTTTCTTATGGAAACACCCTTTATTTTAAGAGATTAGAGCTATTTGAAATTAAAAATGCTTGGAACTAATAAAAATTCGCAGGTATGTAACTAAGAAATGGTCGTCATGCCATCTTTTGTTCTCCATGGAAACCTAGATGTCTGCAATAAAAATAATTTAATGTACAAAATGCAATATTGCAAAATGATAAATTTATACAGTGCTATTTATTAAAAAGTAGACATAGGGATTTACGTGTATTGTTTTTCCGTATGTCTACTTTTAAATGACAAAATCTGAAGGGCGCCTAATTTCATGCATCCAAAATAAGTTCACACAAATAAAGATCTGGCTGTCAGATTAATTAATTTGAATATTTTTGCTTTGGCTTCACAAACAATAATTCCGGCACTATACCATTTGACAATATCAACTTTTTCTTCAGTAGAATACATCGCACACAAATGAAAATAAAAATACGGAAGCCAAAGCAACAATATTCAAATTAATTAATATGACAGCAAGATCAGTTATTTTGGTTGCATAAAATTAGGCGCCCTTCAGAAGTGATTTTGTCATTTCAAAGTAGACAGGGAAAAACAATACACTTAAATCTCTAAGTCCACTTTTTAATAAATAACACTGTATATAAAATTGTGCTGTACGTGTGTTTGTGATTGAACTCCTCCTAAACGGCTGGAGGGATTTTGATTAAAGTGTCTCTGTGTGTGCACGGATTGTTTAGATTCCTAATTGGGCCCAATCAGATTATAGACTTTTTTAAAAACTTCTTTTTTGCTTGATGTCGCACTGTGCTATTTTGTGTACCGTGCGGATATATTTACATTTTTACATTCTTTAAGCTGGGTTTTCGTCAATATCCGTCAATATCGAGCGTACGAAGTCGTGAAGGGAAATATAGTATTTAATATACAAACATAAACATAAATAACATAAAATACATTAAAATATAGGAAATTTTACGCTTTTTTAAAAAACTCCAAAATATATAGGGTGGTTCATATCAAAAAATGTAGTTCAGGGTCATACAAAAAACCAAACACCCTGTATAACAACTGTATCGCGATGGATTCTAAAGAAAAAGTGCTCTTAAGAAAAATTTCGCTAAAATCAATTATCTTCAATAATAAGACACTTATAGGAGAAAGGATACAGTAATCTACTAAACTCGAGAAACGCCCCCTAGCGGCCAAACGATCCTATTTGCGTCAGCGATTTTCTCTTTAATTGAGATCCTGACACGTAGGTCCAGTTTTTTTGTATCTCTTAAAATAAAGGGCGTTTCCATAAGAAAGTGTCCAATTTGGACCACCCTGTACGGGATGGATCATCGATTTATTGCTGTAGAAACACTTATTAAATTATAGCATTTTTAAAAAGTTACTGGTGAAAAATTGTGCCCGATAAGTGATGCCCATTTTCGGTAATACACTGTTGCAACCCTAGACGGTAAGTGTCTTCCCCTATTTGCAGTAGATCTGCACAGATTGAGATTGAGCCTGTACGCGGGTTATTGTTGTATACACGCGACTTTAGGTACCCTCAGAGGGCAAAATCATAACTACTCAAGTCGGGGGATCGCGTTGACTAAGAGAAAGCTGTTAGTTAGTTAGCACCCCAAATTGCAAATGTCCTATTTTGGTTTTCGTTTCGTTACCATTTCCAGGGTTTTTCAGGGTGTCAAACATTTAAAAGGGCTGTAATTTTTTGGCATACACTGGCCAATGTGACATAAAAATTTACAAAAAAGTCCATTACAGTTTTTAGCGCATTTTTTTAAGAATTTAAAAAATGTGCTATTGCTTGCGTTTTGTCCGTCCGTCTGTCGGACTCACTTCTGCCGTGTTTGCATATTTGAATTCTCCTAGAATCCTGGATTTTTTTGCAATCAGTAGCCTATGTCTTGAAGGTGTGCCAGACGACTATCAAAATTAATTGTCTTAGTCCCCCCCCCCCCCCCCCCCCACCCCTTGAATTATTTAATGAGATGCACATGCCTTTAATGGTGCCAAGTAAAATGTTTGAAAATGGGTGGCGGGGGTGAACACGTTCTACCCTTCACGGCATTATAATGAGAGGTTTCAACAAAAGGAACTGTTTTATACCAAACTCCTTATTAAAAGAGGGGTTTTTGGGGAAGGGGGTAGACCTGGTACTATCCGTCATGGTACTAATGAAAGAAATTTCTACCACTCATAGCCCTCCTCCTCGACCCCTTTCTGAACGACCTCCAAATTGAGGTTCTTCTTAGTTTTCAACGAAGAAAGCGACTGTTACTGATTATCTCAGAAAATAATGAAGCCATATTGTTGCATGATTAGTAGTAATTGTTTATTCTTACAGAAAGAAAATGGCGAAATAAACATAGACAGATCCTGGCTGCTTCCCGTTTTAAAAGAGAGCATCAAAACGGCCACCATCGAGTTTTGGGTAAAATCTTTGCTACCGTTAGCAATGTCATGTCACCAATACTCGATTCAATTAACCGCACAAAATGAGGGCATTAACGCTCACGTTTACGAACTGCTCTACATACAGCTGTGGAGCTTATTGCCGAACTTTTGTAACAGTCCCACGGACATCCAGACCAACTTTAAGACGATTGCCAAAGTTCTGGGTACGGGAATTACGAACCACAAAGACGTCCGGCTTTCGATCCTGGCGGCCCTGCGCCGACTGATCGCCTTTGCTAAGGAGGCCGACAGGGAGGAGGATTTAAATGAAATCGCTAGGTTTGACAAGAACTACCTGCCGCTTCTCTTCAACTTTTACACGACTAAGGCGAGAGATGGCGAGGAGGAAGGGCACAGATTGGCAGCACTGGAAACTATTAGGGTACCGACAAAAATCCCTTGAGCATTCTTAACATTGAATTTTAGGTGTACCTTAGCATTAGTAAACCGGACCTGACCCAGCAATTATTTGCAAACGCTCTGGACCGTTTAAAGTCCATTGAAGGTACCGAACCTGATGACCTGTACGTAAAAGACGGCATCTTAGATATCGTGAGAGAGCTTGTGCCGTATCAAAATGTCGAATCCATTGAGAGACTGTACGAACAGTGCATAAAGGGCATTCCGAAGATGAGCAATAAAAAGGAGCAAAAGAAGGCGTTTAGGTTACTCGAGGAAATTTTGGAGAATGACTCGGACCACTGCAAAAACTTCTTCAAGAAGAACAAGAAGCCCGTACAAAAATTGCTAACGAAAAGTATGGCGAAAGCGGCGTTAATAAGTAAGGCGACGCGACTTAGTTGCTTGAACAATCTGATAAGGGCGCAACCGTCGCTGACTCACGAAAGTTTGTTGATCCGCTCGGTTATCCCCGAAGCGGTCTTATGTTGCAAGGATGCGAATGGGAAGTGCAGAAGTACAGCTTATGCCACCTTAAATACGATTGGCGACACGTTAGCCAAGCACAATCAGTTGCAGGAGTATTTGAATATGATTGCGGCTGGACTTGCTGGTTCGGTTGAGATTATGAGCGCGACTCTGCTAGCGCTAGCTTCGGTTTTACATAATTTTTCAGGTAAGAAATTTGGTTTATGGTTTATTCATTTATAAACAAAGACAATTGTAAGATAAGTAGGTATAAGTTTTAGTTAGGGAATGGTTTCAATCCATTTCTTGAGGCATAAGTCAGTAGTAAGCTTGTATACCGACATTGCAGCTGCCTCAAAACGGAACGCAAAAGGAAAGACTAAAGCCATCGCGGCAACAGCGCAAGCTTTCCCCAACATGTTCGTTCTTATTGCTTGTTTATCGCCAGACTTACTCTAGTTCACTTTCCGTTTAAAGCGGTACAAATGTAAATTTCCTTGCATTGAAGTGAAATGGGAAGTCAAGGACAATTATTAAACTCTTCCTGTAGAAATGTTGGAATAATTCCATCTAATCTCTAAGATTTAATTTTCGTTTGATCTATGCTCGGATTTTTTAGTTCTCAGTTCTCCCTGCTTGCCTTCCATTGTGAAATAGGCACTATCCTACTATTAGGTTTTAAGGTTATCAATCCCGGAAAGTGCTTTTGGAGCACTATGTGTTATTCTCAGTTGTCATATGTAACTTCCATCCCTGTTAAAAGGTTTTCTGTCTTCCCTTTCTGTTAATTTGGATTTCTGTGTTAGTTATTCTCTTATATTTTCAAAACCTTCCGCGCTCCAATGATCATTTTTGAAGGGACACCATTTTGTAACAAATGCCATCGCATTCCCTCAACAATGGGCATAGGAGCGCGCAAGGTTTTAGAAATATTGGGAGAACCCGCTAGGAGAGGACAGATCGATGGCATTTCTTTACAAGTGACTGATAGCACGGGGGCTCTTAAAAATGGTGGGGGAGATCGTAGCACCGTGGTCTGAAAATTAGAGATTGATGAAATACGCTTCTAGTATTCCATACCCCCAGTGTTCCGTTGAAGAGACATCTTTTTTGAGCAAATGCCATTGCATTTCCTAAAAAATGAGCATCGGGCGTGGATGGCTCTTAAAAATCTGGTGGAGAACGTAGCACTGGGGGGTCTGGAAAGCAAAGATCGATAGGATATGCCCCCAGGGATAGGTCTCCCTTTTCTTGGGGAGGTATCTATACCCCCAGGCCCCAGACCCCCTGTGTTTCGTTTTCCTCTACTATTTTCAATGTCTTCACGCCGATCATTTTGGAAGAGCCACCACTTTTTAACAAATGCTATCGCTATTCCTCAAAAATAGGCATGGGGGAAGGGTGGACCGTAGCACCGAGGGTGCATTTTATTGACCAATTTTGAAAAGACACCTTTTTTGAGCAAATGCCATTGCATTTCCTCAAAAACGAGCATCGGGGCGTGAATGGCTCTTAAAAATCTGGTGGCGAACGTAGCACTGGGAGGTCTGGAAAGCAAAGATCGATGTGATATGCCCCCAGGGAAAGATCTCCCTTTTCTTGGGGAGGTATCTATACCCCCAGACCCCCTGTGGTTCGTTTTCCTCTACTATTTTCAATGTCTTCACGCTTTAATGATCATTTTTGAAGAGCCACCACTTTTTAACAAATGCTATCGCTATTCCTCAAAAGTAGACATGGGGGAAGGGTGAACCGTAGCACCGGGGGTTTGAGGGTGATCCAATACCCCTCAGGAAAGGAGAGATCAATGGCATTTCGTCACAACTGGGGGAGATCGGTACCGGGGGTCTTGAAAAGTAGAGATCGATGAAATCTTCTTCCAGAATAAGATCTCGCCTTTCCTGGGGGGGGGGGGCATTGAATACCCCCGTGTTACCTTTTTTCCTTAATATTTTCGAAGCATTTCGTCAAAAATGGGCTTCGGAGCTCGCAAGGGTTTAAAAATATTGCGGAGAAAATGTAGCACCGGGGTGAGAGGTATGGAATAATCCCCAGTCCATACCCACCAGGAAAGGAGAGATGGCATTTCGTCACAATTGATTGATAACGTGGAGGGCTCTTAAAAATTCTGGTGGGAAACGTAGCACTGGGGTCTAAGCTTCCATGAAAAGATTTCTCCTTTCCTGGGGGGTGTTCCATACCCCCCAGACCTCCTGGTGTTATGTTTTCCCCTAATATTTTTAATGCCTTTCTAATGATAATTTTTTTTTAAGAGAATGTTTTCTCGCTTTAATGATCATTTTTGAAAAGCCACCCCTTTTTAACAAATGCTATCGCTATTCCTCAAAAATAGGCATGGGCGAAGGGGGAACCGTAGCACCGGGGGTTTGAGGGGGTATGGAATACTCTCCAGGAAATGAGAGATCGATGGCATTTCGTCACATCTGATTGATAACGCAAAGGGCTCTTAACAATGCTGGGGAAGATCTGCACCGGGGGTCTCGAAAAGTAGAGATCGAGGAAATCCTCTTCCAAAATAAGATCTCTCCTTTCTTGAGGGGGGGGGGCATTGAATACCCCCCAGACCCCCCGGTGTTACCTTTTTCCCTTAATATTTTCAAAGCTCTTAAAAAGTCTCGTAGGAAACGTGGTGTGGGGGGTGTTCCAGACCTCTTGGTGTTAAGTTTTCCCTTAATGTTTTTAAAGCCTTCCTCATGTTAATGGTCAGTTTTGAAGAGACATCATTTTTGAGTATATGCTCAATATGCTAGGGCTCTTACAAATCTGAGGGAAAACGTAGCACCGGAGACTGAAAAGCAGAAATCTATGGAATACGCTTTCAGGAAAAAACCTCTCCTCCCCAGACCTCCCGTTTGTGACCAATCTAAAGATTTTGTCTACTTCCAGGTGCATTAGGAAACGAAAACATTCAGTTTCTTCTGGAAAATGTTGGGAGTATAATTTCATCACCCTCACGTGAAGTTGTGGGTCCCTGTCTAAGCTTTCTGAAACTTTACTGTACGTCTTTACCAAGTCCTTTAGTTGCATCGTCTCTACCTAACATTGTAAGTAGTTATTGAGTGATATCAGGTGTGGGTTGAAAACTTTGTACCGATGCATACTTCAATATTATGTACTTACCTAATTGTCACAGGTAAAATACATATGTAGCATGACCGACGACTGTAAACGAAATTTTCGATTGAAAATACGCGACATATTGGATCGGATCGTTAGAAAATACGGATGCGATGCAATTACCCCCTACGTCCCCGCAAGTGATACCGTCATTTTGAAAAAATTGCGAAACTTGCGCAAATTAAACGCGCGCAAGAAACGCCAAAAAGACGCTAAACGTGACCAATCCGAAAGTGAAGATGAAGAGTTTACCGTTAAGGCTAAACCGAAAAGGTAATTGTCAGAATCAAAACTTTTGGCTAACGCGAATTTTAGTATTGAGGAAATCCTGGCCGATTCTGATTTGGAGGATTCAGACACTAATGACGAGCCTAAGCAGAACAAGAAGCAGAGAAGTACTTGGATTCGGGAGGACGCTGATACGATTGTCGACTTCAATGATCCGGCAGCCGTTAGTAAAATTACAGGTAGGGTTTTTGTCAAACGAGTACAAAAAATCATCATGATTTTGTTGATTAGCCACAAAACCGTCGGCATCAAATTCGACTACAATCGAGAAAAAGTCCAAGAAGAATCGTGGTTTTAAAACTGCTCCGGACGGACGTTTGATAATAAAAGACTTGGATTTCGACAGCGATTCGGATTCTGATAAAACCAAAGCGAAACAGTTTAGTAAAATGAAGCTGGAAGATTCGGATTCAGGTAAATGCACGATTCCATCGAAGGCGTAATGCGAGAGTTGCTTTTAGAGGAAGAACCTAGCGCGCCCAAAACGAATAGAAAACGTAAAAGATCTGAAGCTGGAAGTGTTAAAAGCGGATTCAGTAGTCATCCTCCAATGAAGTATCAGGCTGGAGGTTCCGGAATTCACAGGTATTTAAGGTTTAAATGAGAGATTCTCGAATTAATTGTATCGTTTAGACCTGTTCAGAAACAACCGGGCTCGGAGTATAAGGCGAAAAAGGCGAGTGGTGACGTGAAACGGAAAGGAAAATTGGATCCATACATGTACCTTCCATTGCAACGCAGCGCTCTCAACAAAAGGTTTGTAACTAGAGGAAGAACTGTTTATTCAAATTAACATTTTAGGAAAAAGGCGAAGATGACTGGACAGTTTAAAAATATAAACAAGGCTGCGAAAAGTGGTGCACTGAAAGGTGCGAAGGTTAGGCGTTTAAAACAAAAGAAAAAGTAACTTCGTTATGCGCTTTCTAAATTTATGCCTGTTACACTTTTTAAATTAAAACAGTATTGACTGAATTCTAGAGTCTTAATTCTGTACTAATAAAATAAATCCTCCAGGTTGTAACGAGAGGGTATTTATTCCATTGAAAAGTGCGGAAGGAAAAGTTTTTACTTATAATTACACAAGAGGTTTGTATTTCATCGACTAAATTTGGGTTGTTTAGGTAATAAAAATCTGTTGCCTACCAATTCGGTCAACCAATAAAAATGCGACACAAATTATAAAGAAAGCTACTTTGATATTCAGTGCAACAGTAAAATTGCGATAAAGAAAACTGTCGGCAAAATCGGATAATATTTACGTATATTTTTGTGCTGCATTAGAGATTTCCCGAATATAAGATAGGCGGGGAAATATCCAGAGGTTGCGTACGGCTTATCGATGGGAGCATTTTCAGCCACTGGAAAGTGCTATCCTTGGATCAGTATTGTGAGCTGAGGCTTCAGGGCTTCCACCGGGTATGCCTGTGGATGGTTAACGTTCGCTTGATATGAAGGTTGTGAGCTACGTGCTGCCTAAGTGAGTTAACGAATTGTCCATGGTCGCTAATGATGCGCCTAGGCATCCCATACCTCAGGAACACTTTGTCGATGAAAGTTCGTGCACACGGGTGGGCGTCAGCTACTTGTAGGACGAACACTTCCACCTAGCGGGAAGTGACGTTTTCTACGATGAAGATTCACCTCTCATCCTTAAGGACTTTGGGTAGCGGTCCGAATAGGTTGGTTGATGCTTGTTCAAATTGTTGCGTGGCCACAGGAGTTTGCAGTAGTCCTGCGGGTTTTAGGTTAGACGCTTTAAATTTTTGGCACTCGGGACAATTTCGGACGTAGTTGGATACATTCTCAGCCAATAATATCGACTGCAAGCGATGCGGTCATCAGTGTGGTCGCCACCATCATAGTGCCCTGTTGTTATTGGTGCGTAGTGGTAGTCTTGGATAATATGCTGTCTTTCTTCTGTGGGAACGACAATTTGGGCGGTCTCCGACTGGGAATCAGGGGAGTATCGGAAGTGCACTCCTTGGCTCATTAGGTAGTCTCGTTAAGTGCACCGGGAATCAACGGGGCTGACGGAGTTCGGGATCGTTCATTTGTACCTGACTGACATCTCGGGAGCTGGCCTACTGGGCAAATCGATGGTCACGCTGCAGACTTCGCAAGTATCGTCTACATGAGGCGCACATGGTGGGCCCGATTGCGTGTCGGCCACTACGTTGACTTTTCCTGGAATGCACTGCACACTACTTCAAAATTTCTCAGGAAAACACTTTTTCGTATAAATCTTGGTGCGTAGAATCCAAAACGATTCGTACTTTTCTCCTCAATCAAAAGTTATATGGACAAAAAATCACTTTCGCAAAAACATTAAAATGTCTGTAACTTTTGATCCAGTGGTTTCTTATTAATTTTGGGGCGTAGAATCCAAAACGATTCGTACTTTTTCGATTAGAATTCTCAATCAAAAGTTATGGACTAGAAACCAATTTCGAAAGAAAATTCAAAGGGCTGTAACTTTTGAACTAGCAGCCCAATCTTGGAACTGTTTGAAATTGTGGTTTCTACAGGCCACATTCTATAAGAAAATCTTTTTTCCCGGTCGTTCTGAGACAATTTTTTGTTCGGGCCTCAAAAAAAGGCAGTGGTTAACCGTCCTTTTTTACCAAAAATCGACTGCACCAAAATTTCTCGGGAAAACACTTTTTCTTATTAATTTTGTTGCGTAGAATTCAAAACGTCTCGTATTTTGTCCATTGGACCCCTTCATCAAAGGTTATGGGCCACAAATCTTTTTTTCTATGGAATTGATAGTACATACTTTCACAGACGACTGACTACTTCTAAATATTGGCCTCCCTCCCGATTATCCTATGTAGTAGTATGAGCGATGTTAGATGGTTAATAAAACTCTACTCTGGTATCAATTTTTTTAAATTTCAACATACGAAGTAGGTAGGTACAAAACGTTCTTATTCAATAATCAATGGCTTAACAAATCTCCACTAATTCGTACTGAACACCGTGATCTTGTAATTATAAATTAGGTAGACATTACATAACAGTGTAAAATAGTTTATTATATCACTTTAAATAACAGTAATACTGTGTGTAATCTGTTATCCCTTGTTAAACTTTAAAAATAAAACACTTATTGTAAGAAAAATGACAATCCAGGTACCTATAGAGATAAAACCCACATAAACTGCGGGTTCGTAAAAGTCCCACCCCCTTTGCAATATATTTCTCATGCTTTCGGTTGCTTTTGTGAGTGGTAAAAATATGGCGAACGTCCTCAACAAATAATGCATTGCTTCCGAAGGCCAAATAATTCCGCAGAGCATCACCGTTGGTAAAAAACTGCCCATGGCCACGTAGGTCGCTGCTCTTTCATCACTGCATAAGCAGGATACCACGAATCCTAGGAAATGGATTAATTTTGAGATACAATCATTTCTAAATTTACCATAACACATCCCGCAGAAGCCGGTCATGAACGTGAGAATTGTGACAAGAACCAGCGATCCAGTTACCGTCATATTAAAAAGGGCGAACGCAACCACCATGACCATGATCGACTGAATGACCATAATGACAAATTGGCATATCACATGTGCGGTTAGCAACTCGACTCCACCAATTCCGATCACCAATGATCGCTCCAAACTTCCTTCGTTACGTTCGATCAGCATTGCGCCCGAAGTTAGCGCGACGGCCAGGAAAAATATCACTCTAAAGAACTTTTTTGAGTATCTGGTAGAGGCTTTTGTCACACTTACGTTAATATGATACCCGGCGTGGCGAAGTCCGTGAAATTTGGCGAACTCAATCCGTAAATTGGCTTCTCCATCTGCAAAAGGAATTAGGAACACTTCATCTGGAGAATTAGCTTACTCGTATTGGGTACTGGAGTAGATGTCGGTCGTAGCCGCACGCTTCCAAATAGTCTTGAGCAAACTCTTGGAAGGTATCGTAGAGATAGGCTTTGATAAATTCCGCGATCGTTTTACCTGTGAGTGTTTAGAATAATAGGGGCAAGTTTGGGCAATGCGGCTACTTACTTGAGACATCTCGATAAACGTCAATTTCGGATGACTGAACGTCCCATGGGTGCGAATTTTTTAAATCTACCATTCGAGCTTGTAATGCTAATGAGTAGTTGTGCTTGATTGCAATTGAAGCGTACATGCCACCTTTTCGGACTGATTCTTTGGCATCCTGCTCCGAAGTGTAATAGTGCTAAAAGCTGGGGATTAGTAACAATTTTTTTTATCACAAACCTTACCAGCACCAAGTCCTTTTTTGCTAGGTAGTTGAGGTAGTGGCAGCTCAGTCTTGTGCTGTTACAGTGTAGAGGTGTTGAGCAGTTGTTTTCCGATTCGTGGTTAATCACTGCTATTGGAAGAGAGACGGGGTCGTGTCCAATCGAAGCGCAAAATAGAACTATTTGGGCAACCGGTAGTAGAGTTATAAACAGCATCATCGCCACATTGCGTAGCATCCCAAGGAAGTTTTTCCAAACTAACGCCTTCATGTGGTTGCTTTTCAGTACGACGAAGTAGTCTGATATTTTCGCGGGCGGCGTGTCTTCAGGGGGTACCACGGACATGGACAGATCACCAGGATCCTCAGATATCGCGAGCGAAAGGCGACTCGTGCTTCTCGCACTCAAAGAAATATTATCGCCAAACTCGCCGGATATTTCGTTATTTTCCCCCGCGCTGTCTACGATGACCGCCTCGTTGACAACTCCATTGGGAACACCCACCACGCTGCTGACGGCTTGGGCTATGCTCGACCGACGCTGACGGCCCATGTTTTGTATTACGCTAAGCTTCAGGAAGACATCCTCGAGCGTGTCTGCTTCGAATTGTCTTAGCAGTTTTGCGGGAGATTCTTCGGCTAGAAAGTATCCTCCGCGCATTAACCCTATCTGACAAAATTATCTCTTAGTTACTTTCGCATTACAAATAGGATTTAGTGTGTGGGGTGGTTCAAACTGATAATTTTGGGCTTTTGTCTAGTCCCCTTTCCAACGCTTTCTGAACCTATCACGTTCCAGCTCTTTTCTTGAGCTTCCCAGACTCGCCTTGTTTTGAAAAGGAAAGCAAGATGCCTCAGAAGTGCCTTAGAAGGCTGAATAACTGAGTGAACTGAATGAATTATTAAGGGCACAATTACCAACCAAGTAATTTACATCTTTTTGCGAGACAAAGTAACAACAGAGTCATCGACAGAAATATCAGCATTTAGTAAGACGTCACACAGCGTTTTAAGACCCAGAGATTTTGTAAAAAGTTAAAGTAGCCTAAAAGAAGCTCTGGGAAAGCGTTAGTATGTTCTGTAGGTTTATATTAATGTTCTAGAAAGCGCTTAAGAAACCTTCATAGCCTACAGAGAAGCTTTTTACGCAATCTCTTAAGCACATCCGTAACCTAATTTACCCCTTCTTAGAAAATACCCTGGAAAAGCCGAACCTATGAAGCTCTGAAAATGGAGAACCGCCCAGGAATTTTGAAAAAGCCTAGAAAGGATTAAAAACTTAAAACCTCTCGAAAAAATTTGGACCCTGACTAGTACCGCAAAATTTTAAAATTAATTTCCGAATTTCTCTTAAGCCCTTTATAGAACTTTCACAGTGTTTTCCCCTTTCTGAAGCTAAACCAATCTAGAAATGTTAAAACGAGAGCCGAGACGACTATGTAAAGGTGTTCAAACGCGTCAGATGTGCTCCTAAGCCTTTTCAAAATTTTCGAAGGCTCTTCTCAAAAAGGCTTGAGGGCGATCAATCGTGTTCTCACTCTAAACTAATTGGGCAATTTTCTAGGCCGTATCAGTGCCTCCTAGTCCCAGAGCTTCCTAGGTTCGTTTTGCTTTGAACGAGGGAAATAAGTCGCCTAGGGCACTTTTTTTTGTAAATCGTCCGAAACCAATGAAGAGCACTCGAATTCCATAAAAGTTAAACAGTTGCCAGAATCTTGTAAGTGCCATAGCTTTCTTTCCAGGGCATTCTGTTGCTTTTCCAGAACCACCTAGGGTCTTTCCCTAGATCCATAAGTTCATTTCAAGGTACTGAAGACCCGTTTCTAGGTCTTTTTAAGCCTTGTTTGGCTAGGCCTAAAAAGCTCTGATGAGGGGTGGAAAACTGAGGCACTGACCCACAAGTTTTGTATAAGCTTATGAAGACGAATCGGAAAAGCGCTAGGCTTGCTCTCCATCCAACTTGGACCATGAAACGTGTTTAGCACCCTAGGGAACTATACTATTTCCACTTCAATTGTTTCAAAAGTCTTGGTAGAGCTTTCAAAGTCCTTCAGGGCTATAGGTACCTACTGTAAAGGATACCTGGAAGGCTAAGGACCTAAATGATCGAGCAACCCTGTTTTCAGAATATCTTAGTCTCTCTTACATATTTTTCTGAACCAGTAGTATCAGAACGTTGTGGGCCCTTTCCAGAGTGCCCTATAACCTACAGGCTCGTCATGCTTGGGAAGAGGCAAGTAAGGTGCCTGAAAAGTTCCTATAAAGCACTGCAGAAGCTCTGTAAAGTTTCATGAACGCTTTCTGGAGGATTCAAAGTGTTTCAGAATTAAAAAAAATCGCGTTGTCTCGTAAGTTAAGGAAAGTCGTCTAACCAGTTTACAAATTGTTATGTCTCTCAGAGTATTTTAAAGCTTTCCTAGGCACTCACAGTTTCTCGAACAATTGACTGGCGATTTAAACTTTTTCACGAGTACTCTAGCGCTTTTTCAGTGCGTTCTACTGCCTTTTATGGCGGCTTTAGTAAGGCATCAAAAAAGCAAAGATGCTGTAGACTGGAATGTAAAGTTCCAGAAAATCCGGGCACTTTCCAGAGCCTTAAAAGTGCCTTTGAAAGTACTACGATTTATTGAACAATTGAATGTTGATCTAAACTTGTTTCTGAGTTTTCTAGCGTCTTTCCAAAATGTGCTAGTGTCTTTTAAGGCGACGTTAGATATTATGTCCTGCAAAGCGTCGGCTTTGCAAATCCTTTTAAGCCTTTTCCAGAGCCTTATAGGTGTGTTTCGGAGCCTTCTCAAGAACTTGAATAGCAATCTAAACGTTTTTCTGAGTGTCTTTGCACCTTTCCAGCAGTGTATTCTGTCGCGGCCTTAGGCATAATGCTCTAAGTAAAATAACGGGTGGGATTAGAAAGATTTAATTTGGAATTCACAGATTTTCCAGTATAGAAAACTGTATACGTGCACCGCTGGATAGTGAAAGAGATGAAAACTAAAAATGCGAGAGAATGAAGCGCTTTCAGATAAGCAGTGAGTGTAAAGGCAGATAAGACTAAAAACGCCACAGTGTTACCAGTTCTAAAGACCGTTTTTGAGAATGAGGGACGAACTTTCTACTATACCGTTACGTGTATTAAAAAAAAGTAACATTTTCAACAAGACAAATTCGTATAATTACAGTATAAGGAAGATGAAACAGCCCGCGTAATCGCACGCCAGATTTTTATTGCAAAAGTTGAAGTTAAATGCTGAATTACAAAGAAAACTGTGCTTCAAATTCGACGAGGTTATTGACGTGTGCATTTAAATCCATTGCGAGTTGCTTTTATGTGGGCGAACATTTTCGTGTTATTGTATTATTTGATTCGCGTAATCGCACATTAATAAGCTTTACCACGAAAGCATAGTGTCCATGGTGCGGAACATTCATTGCGTTTATACTTGTAGTGGTTAGATAAGTTAAAAACAAGATTATTAACCAAATTTTTGCGCTTATTTTGTTTACATGTGGCGATAATCTAATTTGAACGGCAAGTAATAAAAAGTTTAAGACGATTAATGAGTGCTTTGGCTAGCTGTTACAACCTTAAGTATACAAAAGGGAAAATGAGCATTTCCATACTGCGGAACATTGGTAAATTATTCCAGTGATTAAACAAAATTTCCAAAATTTCGATAAAAGTGACCCGACACAAAAGATCCAATTGTATTGCACAAGGCGTTGCACCAATTATTTCCCTCTTTCAAAAGATCCCCATATATTTAATAAAGTAAATGATGGTCTGCGACATGTTTCGACTATAAAGTCATCAAACAATTGAATTGCGATATAACCTTTTTCAATGTCCTAGCGCTTGTAAAGAGCGCTCTAGTGTTCAAGCGTACTCTAGAAAAGCGTTAAAACTCTAAAAAAAACCACTTATGCTCGGAAATAGTATGAAAAGCTCTGGAAAGCCTATGAAACACTTTCTAGAATTTTATAAATGCCTTCAAGAGAATCTTAAAGATTTGTCGAACAATTCAATGACGATCTTAAGGACTTAAAATCTCTCATAGAAAACTGCGAAATCAATTTTGGGTGAGCTCTAAATGCTCTTTGGAAGAGGCGAAGGCATGCATTTAGATGGCAGCCTTGAGCAATCTCAAGCTTTCTGAAGCGATTTACAGAGTTGGAAAGCGTCGAAAAAACTAGGATTTTTAGAATCAAGCTCTTTCCAAAGCGTTCGAGGCTCTTCTAGTTGCCATATCAGAACTTCTAAGGACTTTCGTCGTATTGCTTTGAAAAAGGCAAATAGGGTGCTCGAGGAGTTGCTGTAAAGCATGTTAAAGGACTTTCATAACCGCGTACTGGAGCACCTAGAGAACCCTCTTAGGAGTTCGGAAACTTGTCTATACGATTTACAAAGCAGGTTTAATGGCATTTAAACGTTTTCATGAAAGCTCTTCGGAACGTCTCAAGTGCTTTAAATAGTTTTTCCCCTGGTTTTTCCAGAGCATTCTATGGCCCTCGCAATGTGTTTAGGTCATTTCCAGTTTTTTAACGCTTTCTTTGCTCGCCCGCCATTGGTAAGCACCTTGAAATCTAGAAGACGGGCTTAAAATACTCTAGAAGAAAACGCTGGAAGGCACTTACAAGATTTTTGGAAGTACTTAGGGTCTTTTAAAATGAAAAATCGTCGTGCAACCATCAATAATAATGAACGTGTTTTGTTAAGAAGCAGCACGCCATTTTCGTCGAACACCATGAATTTCGTCGTTATAGTCGTCTTCATCGAAGCTGTCGTTTAACCAGCCAAGAATCTACGCTGTCACTTCCACAAAAGTAACACCAACCGCCATTGCTTTCTTATCTTCGCCGATCGCCTTCGTTTGTATTGGCCTACTTCGAAACAACAATATTGTCTCGTCGTACAGATTACCAGATCAAGATTTAGAATCGATTTATTTATTTGTATTTTTTAATAATAAACACGTTAAACATTCGTGTCGATATTCTTTCATATCTCTCATACATAGTAGCATATACAGTCCATTATACGTACATATCGAAGCTTTGTACCTACGCTACAAAGGCTTTTCCAAATAAGTTAAGGCTCTTCTATACGTTTTCAAGAGCGTAAGTTCCTTGAGAAGTTAGTTATTATGAACATCATAATGAAACAGGCCATTTTGATTTATCTAGACGATTTCTTAAATTAAAATTCATAATTATCGCGTGCCCGTACTAGTTATGGTAATCGCGTTTGTTTCAATTTTAACGTTCGCGGTGAAAAATAGTACCTATTCATTATCAATATGTGCGATTCTAAGGTTCCTTCGGATTGCTCAAAATGTTACCGATACTCTTTCTGGCGAAAAATCGACGTATGTTTGTCTACAATTTAAAATTTGTATAGTTCGGAATAACACTATTATGGTACCTAGCCGTAATCACATACAATTGGCTATGCTAAATATGTCATAATGCCACTGTCATAGATTATATTTATTAAAAAACACGTATACGGTAATTCAGGTTTTCTAAACCTGAACGCGTACGTAAATGTGCTTAACAATACCCGTTTCTTACATTACTTTTTATACCGGGTGATTCACTAGAAGTGAGGACAATTTGAATTTCCCGCAAATCAAAAACATTATGAAGTTGGTACTAACTGATGATCATTTATTTAATTGCAGTGGTGTATCATCATGCTTTCAGTAAATCGTTTTCTTATTTATAATCTACAAATACTGCTTCTGTTTTACCACAAATTATAAACTAACACTAGACACAGTCACGTTTCTTACATATTTTAGTGCATCAACTCTAAAAATTGTTCAAAATGGAAAAAGTAATAAACCGCAAATGGCACACAACAATTAACGGCGACACTGGTTTCTTAAATGACAGTCATGACAGAAAAAAATTACTAACGAAATTCAAACCGTCAATCTAACAATGCAAAAAATACTAAAACCTTACGCGCGAAATTCAAGCG